ACTTTATTATGCCAATCTGTTAATTGACAAACCTAGTACGAATAAATCAGATGGATTTTTGGTTTATTAAGAACTTAAATGGAATGTCAGCCAAGCAGTTTATTTTAAGTATTTCTCAACCGAGTGCAGGTAAAGTGAATCAAGTATATAGGATAACATTTTAAAAGATTTTTCTTCCTGGAATCTATTGCTCATAAGTGACAAGAAACCTTGTAATGGATTCTGAAACATCATTTTATTTTAGTAATATTTACAGAAGGACAGTAAGTTAGCAAAATTAGTTCAAAACTGTTTAATGAATAAAGTTTACAGTTATCAAAAAGATACTACACCCTGAATGATGTCATTTTTCATGCCAAATTAATTTAACACTTGTGTTCATCCAGGATGCTATGGACTTCCGATTTACAAAATGGTCTTTAAATTACAATTTATGACTTTCTTGACTTACATTGCTTAGGTACAGATGTTATGGATACTACAGAATTCATAACCGAAAGATTACGGTTAAACCAAAAAAAGCATACAGAATCTGAAAACGTTTACACTATTAGTGAAATTGTACCGATTCAAACAAAATGATAAAGTTTTATAGATTTTAACATAGATTTTATTATGTCAGTAATATTTATGATGTGGCCTCTGAGCCAGGTGACATCTTCAAGATTACTCGAAATAGATTAATTGAAAATCAGTCTACCTGTATTTACGATTTTTGCCTCCAGGAAATAATACTACTTTGTTGTTACTGATACGTATTTGTGATTATTTACACTAATGGAAAACTTAGTTCCAGAGCTTCTATTTGATCAAGTACAACTGTCTGAAATTTTGCTAACAACAGTTTCATGCTTAAAATAAATCAGCGTTAACTAGCTGGTTTCCAAATCTCTGTATTTCCTATTTCAGCTTAGACTTCTTGTAAGATTATTCATTAGAAAAATTTCACTAATTATCTAGACAATTGTGACATTAAATCCTGTTTATTTGGTCTATCGTACTCTAACTGATCTTGCTTTATGTATGATATCTACTGTGCTCCTTTGCTTATTCTCACTAAATTCCTAACCGAAAGTTAAATTTTGTTCACTTATTATTCTAACTGGTTTTTGTAACCTTTTATAGCCCTTGTTGTTATTTCCCAGATTATTTAGAAATAATTATCAGTTCCCGTTGTTTGTGATCTGAAGATTCTGAAAATGAACTTACCGACTCTACAAAAGACGAACATACTTAACAGTCATCTATGTAACTAATGAAAGAAAACTATAGAAGGAAATAAACACTCAACCAGTCATTTCTATACGAAAAATTATATGTTGAATTACATCAGACCCAATTTCCAACTATCATATGCCAATAATCTTTATATGTTATTAACCAACTATGGATGTTTTGGTAAACTAAGATAAAACTTACTCTTGTTGAGAGTACTTTGTCTTATTCACGATACATTCATTTGAAATCTTCATATTTATAATTCGAGTTAACTTAGACTGATGAAGCAATCGGCAAAATTAGTTAGTCAAAACAAAAGTCACCACATCACAAATTTTGAGCAATCAATCAGCATTGTTTTTCATATTGTTACCATTCGACTTGTTTTATACAATTATTTATTGAAAGGAAATGTCATCGGTATTTATGATGAAATCTTAAATAATCTGTTTATTATGTCTAATTGACTTTGATGAAATGACTATGGAATCCATTAAGAAAATGAAAATTCATCATAGTGGTCATTAATCATACCATAAAATCACTTGACATGACCATCGGTGTATAGCCGAAATTTCATTCATTTCGTTTAGAATATAAATGACATTAAAGTGTACAGTTATGTTGAAAGATTATGTTTTGATGATTAATTATATGTAGTCGACTTGTTACTATGTGGATTGTGTATTTTTAAATATGAAAATGTATGAAGGCTTTAATTATTTGTGTGTCTTCATCCAAAAATTGGTTCTTAAGAGTAATAATTAATCAATTTCATGATTTCCAACTTTGATTTACCGTCACATGGATTCACTAATTTGATGTGATTCATTACAAATCATCTGGAGTATAGATAGATGTATCATGTGGCCTTTGATTGTCTTGACTGATTAACTTATGTGTAACGATTAATGAGTAAATGAACAGATTGAACTGTTTACGTATAAATTAGGTCGTATTGGCCAGTAGACCGTTCGGGTAGAGATTTGATGTTAAGTACATAATGTACGTGAATATCCACCAAATTATCAGTGATTCTAGCAATGAAACTAGTCATTTTGTTAGTATATTACATACATCTGTACTCCAAGTGAATGGAAGAATCGCATTTTGACTAGTACCAGCAGATGAAAAACTTGTGAATAGTTTCTTTTTAAAGTAAACTGATTGCAATACAGAAATGTCATAATATTCTGACATATACTCCTCTGTGTCCTATCAACTAATGTATGATCATTGTTGAACAGTCTGAATGAATACTGATTCTTGTCAAGGTTATTTCTCAAAACGTACAAATTCTAAATAACGACTGTTTATCAAGGCTATACTGTTTTTATGAGCCGTGGATCTGACTCCAGGTAGATCGTTTGCTGCTTGTTATCGATATATACATGTCCCCGATCCTCGTATATAACATAGACTTAAATCGCGTTGGTGAAAAACGGAATTAAACAAGTCAAATGCGAGAATGGATCTTTGAACATGTACATTTTGTGCACCTATTGATCTGGACAGACAATCGAAGAAAGTGAAGCAAAATGACGAGCAATGGAGAAGGCGAGTAAGCCAGCTCGATTTAACCGAGCGTGAATCGATATTTATAGTCAGACGAAAATCAGTTACAAACATGTGATGAGTAGGCTAAGAAATGCACACACATACGCTTACATAAAAGCAGTCAAGGTTGATGAGCGAATAATTGACAAGGTCAAAATATAGCTTGAGAATAATGGATAAATTGGTTTGTTCGGAGGCCAGAATAACATATGTGGGTTTGAAATATTACCAGCCCCTACATTGTTTGAGAAGTCATTTTAAATATTTCTTTCAGTATTTCATTACTTCAATGGAACTTATTTATCCTTTCATTACGGACACGACATCACTAAATATAACAATTAACAAAAGACTAACAATTTTAATAAATATGCAGACGACAGTTTCCTACTAATATCTCATGGTAGAACTAGGGAACATTTTATGCCAAAAAGTAAATTGTTAGTTCACTCGATAATACGATGATTTTTGACTTCACCAATCATGATAGATCATCAGCCAAAATTTATGTCGTCATATCCATACATGTGGTCCAGATTTACATGCTAGATTATCAGTTTTATCATTTTATTGTTCTATCATACCGGACAAGATATTTAGTTGTTTATTTAGTTTACATTGTATCAGTTAGATACAACACTGATGCTGGCCAATCCAGAAGATTTATTTTTTTCAGAATGAAGTTTAGGAGATTAACAATGCAACCTCAATTCAAATCCGAAACCTTTGGTCTCGCAAATGAATACTTAACCACTGGTCCAGCATCCAATATTATGGAAGTTTAACTTAAATCGATCCATTATGTTGGGCGACCATTTTCCATTTGATTCCGGTTCAGTAATTTAGGGGTCAAGCGTTCATGTGTCAGATACAATGTCCTGGGTTCAATTGCTTGCTGTTGAGTTATGGATGTGCGTTGATGATGAGTGTTATAGTAGGACGAAACGAACAGTACGTTCTGAGTTTTAATAGGCTTGTTATCTCAATAAAAGACCAGTTTGTATTTTTATTAGTGAAATTTGATTTTAAATTTCTTGTCATTATCATATTTATCTTCGATCTATGTTATACATAAACTAAACAATATGAAAATGACCATAAATTCTTCAACATATAAGTTATTATTATGATATATATCATATTTAAGTGAATGCGATGGTAGTCAGTTTTCAATTTGTTAATTATTTGGGGGTGAAGCATTAATGACTTATGGTTATATTATAAAACTAGAGTTTTCGGAAATATATTTCCCTTTATGAAAATTTTAAAGTTTATTATAGACGTCAAGTAAACATTTTTTTCAAGGATATTACATGTTAAATTAGATGGATACTTTCATTCATTTGCCATTATTTCAGTTTGATAAGATAGTTTTAAATTCCACAGGATAATTTCCTTCGAGATGGTAAATATTACTTATTGACAGGTATCAACCAGATCTGAATTACTATTCAATACTTCCCCACTAGTCCCTTCGGACCATCAAATATCATATCAACTCAAGCGTATGAACTTGGAATGGGAAATACAGAATGATTGTTCTACTTTCTCAATTATGTTGTACGATTTTCTTATGATGCAACTATATGTAAAATGCTTTTAATAAATTGTGGATCTGACAATTAGGAAAGCATTTGTAATCATATTTAAGCAGGATAGATTATACAATTTGTGCTATAAATAGTATACATCTTTTGACTGTTCGAAAATTAATTGTAATTTATTTTTAAGTCTAGTTGATAAGTAGAAAAATTTTCGTTATTTACGTTATGAAGAGTTATAGTCTTATTGTCTCAACCTACAGTATTTTTATCCTAAAAATTTCTCAGTTAGTATGCAAAACAACCACGTTCTTACAAGTTTCTAATGGATGTCCAATGTACTTTTCTCTTTACAAATGCATCAGAAAATTTGATCAGAATAAAATTCTTAGGGTGCAAGCTTTGTTGTTCATTCAGAATGACAACAAAAACTATACTAACGAACAAATCAATCCAAATAACGCAATACTATCAGCGGCATCAAACTGAATTAGTTATATATATTTCCAAACTTAAACGCATAATCACTGAGACTGGTACTTCAAACAAAGCTGTACATACTATAGATAATTAACTGAATTCAACGGCCCAAAGAATTCAAAAAGAACGATAAATCTATTGTTATTTTGTCTCTCTCTCTCTCTCTCTCTCTCTCTCTCTATATATATATATATATATATATATATATATATATATATATATATATAGTATATAAGTAATATAATCTGTGCTACAGATAGATAAATGATAATTGCAAACAAGATCAATGAAGATAAATGAAATCGTCTTCAATGTGAAAATATCTAAACAAAATTACATTGAAATAAAATACAAATGTGAATAATGATGTTAAAAATAATCTTAATTGCAAAAGAAAAAAATCAGCATTACCAAAGGCGCATCAATTCATTAATTAATTCTAAGAATAATACGGAACAACTAAGCAAAAAAATAAATAATAATAAAAATAATATTGTGAAGAAATACAACAACAAGTTAAGAAAGATATAATTTGAAAGAAATGAAATTAAGAAAGTGCAATCGATCGATCAGTTGGTGCTTGAAATTTCCACCAAGGTACAGAAAATCGATATTGCCTATAAGTACAATCATGAGGTAAGAAAGCTAAACAAGTTCTACCATCAACAATATAAGGTCTTATATCAGTGCAATTTTCTAGTAAACGATTTATGTAGATTAAATTAGCGAATGCCTATTGAAGATTGAAAGAAAAATATATAAAAAAGTTAATGCTAGTTGACTGTTTTAAAATAAAATCTAAGTTACAATAAGTCAAATATTTAGTGAAATGGTTAATAGAGATGTTCGCAATAATGAAGATAATATTTTAACTCAATCTCATATCAATTAGAAACATGGAAATTTCTGAACAGTTACGAATCTGTAGTTTAGAAAGGGAAATGTAAATTATTAGATTTGGAATCAGTATTTTAAAGGTATTGTGTTCACGTGAGATCTGAAGGTTTTGGGTATATTCTTGAAATAGGATTTTTGATGGGTGCTGATAAGTAGTTATGATCTCCATTTAAATAATTGTCTAGCTTTCGATGATTTTTACTAGTTAATGAGGTGAACTCAGTTTGTAATGAAAATTAATAATCACTTTATTTAAACATTATCGTCCCATAAAATGTTTGTAATATCTTAGTGAGTAGAAAAATTGAATTTTTAGCATTTAGCAACCAGATATAATGCTAACGAATCTCTAAACAAACTTAAAACACTGAGAAGTGAAAAGTTCAAAATAAATGAACTACGACAGGATTAGAAATCGAAGGACGTTCGTCTTGTGTTACATCTAAACTTGCTCTAACGATTTATATGTATAACTTTTCTGTATCTGCGAATACTTTCCAGAATGTTGAAGCGAATATGTAGTTAAAATGGTCAACACCTCAATACTCATTCATCTAATTTAAACTGCTAATCAGGTCAGAATAGATGAATCATTTTCAATATTTTATCGGGTTAGAGTCTTCCAAATAGCAAAAATAATAGATATGTTGGTTAAAAGACAGAGCTTTGAGTACGAAAGAAATGCGTTCAGCCTCTTTTCTAACCGTGCTAAACTTTAGGCCCATTACGTCAGTATTCATCATATTTGTAAGACGATCTAATTTAACTAATTTACATGTGGTCTTCCTCTTTGAATTTCTTCAAGTATAATTTATTTTATTCAATTATTATTTTGATGGAAATCATGAACTGACCTATGTCAGACCACCGTTGAAAACCAGAAAGCAGTGGACGGCCGTTTCGTCTCAGTGTAGGAATCCTCGGCAGTGTGCACACACGACCACACACTCAGAACTCGAACCCAGGACCTTCAGTCTCACGAGTGAACTCTCAACCTCTAGACCACTGAGCCGGCATTCAACGGTGTTAATGTCTATCTTTAATTAATCCATGATATTGTAAGACCACCTTCCAGTGTCTTCAGTAAGTAACCACCTCACATCCGACAGGGATTAGCTCTACTGATCACGGCTTCTCACTAGAACTGCGGAAATTTCTTCTCAAAACTAGTCACTAGTGAGCAAATGATAATTTCCAGTACGGTGTTGTGGAGATAGATGAATTTCATTGAAATTATAAAACGATTTAAGTTAGATGATCACCGAAAGTATTGTTTTCATCATCATTCATATATCTTTCGATAAGTATAATAATAATTACTATTATTTTTATTATTAATTCTTGTAAGCACATGAAGAATTTAAGCAGCTTTAACTTCATCGTGCTGTTTGATACATCACTTAGTTTTCGACCAAACATCTGATTTGATGTGTAACTACATAATTAGTTTTCCTCACTCTATCTCACCCATATTTATTCTGATTATATTCAACTGATATATCCACTTATTCAGCTTAAAATTAAAAACTGGGCAGTTCAAGATCGGAAACTGTATTTGATTTTATTGACAATCCTAGATTTATATGCTAATATTTTAAAAGATGTATTCGCTCTACACTTGTTTGTCCCTTTGGAGCATTAATTCGGATTTATAATAGCAAACAGTGATAAGGAATTATAGAAAACAGTATTTTTCTTTCAGTTCCTACATTTTTACTCTGTACTTTAATAATTAAACGACTTACATTACACGCTAATTCTTCATGTTCATTTCCCCAAATATAAATACACTCCAAAGTAAGATTTGTAATCAATGATTCAGCCAATGCACAAAGTCCAGGCCCTTTCAACTCACAAAACTGTATTGCAAGACTAACGGTTAAGAAAGAGGAACAAATATTTCACAATGATGATTTTCCAATGAGAAAATTTTATTTAATCTACTGAATAATTCTAAGAAAAGTTTCAAGTTCGATATATTACTACCTATGATTTATGTATTGACAAATGGATAAAATAACATAATAATAACTATCAAACACTAATACAACTCAAGAACCAATTAAAGGTTTCAGTATTGGGCTTTGGGTCACACTATTAATGTATGCAGAGTAGCATAATGATATTATATTTGCATAACAGCTAACATACATAAAAATTGACTGAGCTTATTTTTTCCAGATGTGTACGGTGATGAATGGAATGAATGAATTACCACTTTGGACATCTTATCATACCTCTGTGATCTATTACTAACCGAGGAATAGACCATATATATTAAGAAATGTCTGTAATGTAGCAAAAGAAGTTACAATACTACACAAATGTAGACTTAATAACTAAAATGTAATTCTGCTATAGAGATGTACTTATAATTTACTTGACGTAAATGTAAAATGGGGGTACAGGACACAATTTATGAATTTATGAAATAACGTTAGAAACTTATATATATATATATATATATATATATATATATATATATATTGGCTGTCTGAATCTTCCCGTTGATATTTAGGACTGAAATTGATCAGTCTCTTTTGGTACACATGTATCATGTGCGTACTGTCTTGTTATTACCACCAAGTGACAACCATTTTTAAGCAAAGATAATTAATGACTAGGATTGGAAACCATGACTGGAGTTTCATCCGATTTGGGACTCTTCAGCTGAATTTACCTGAATTCTAACGCTGACTTTCACTCCAGGACTTGGATAAGTATCTTTCTTCAGAATTCTTTCCTTAACATCAGCAATGAGGAAATTTAAACGCTTGCGAATAAACAGTAGCAATAACCCATAGTGTCATTGAATAAGAAAGAGATAATTCACCGAAGAAAATTTTCTTTTCGACGAAATCATTTACTTAAGCAGATGGTTTTGTACAGAGATCTATATATAGAAAACCTACTTGAAATGGACAATACACGAACTTCCATAGTTGGGTGCCATTAAGTAGAAAGAGGAGATTAATTCACTCTTTATCCTCGAGAATCAAGCGAATCTGTTCCAATGACACAACAGATGGGGAACTATTTCATCTTCGACAGACCCTCATCATAAATGGTTATCCACCGAGATTCATTGATAGCAACCTGACACCCAGACTTCATGACAAAGCATCGACAGTAGAGGAGAAAACTCTATTTATGAATACGGAATTTAAAGGAGACACTGCTGCTGAAATCATAAATAAACGGATTTCGAAATCGTTAAATAAAACATTCTACGCAGCTGAGCTCCGAATCGTTTTCTCTAGCCAACCTACCATTTTGGGATGTGTGAAGGACAAAATTCCGCATTGGGCCACATTAATGTGTATATATAAATTTACTTGCTCATGTGGGGCACATTGCATAGGCATCACAAAGCGATCATTGTCCAAACGCATCTCGGAACATTATCCGGCCTGGCTCTTAAAAGGAGAACGTAAAACAATTACTATTTCGATACAGGAGCACTTTATTAACTGTGGACACATCGCTCCAAAAGATTCTTCTTTTCTAGTTCACAGAGTCAAAGGAACTGGATCGAAAGGGTGTCGAATCAATATTGTATGCACTGCTGAGGCATTGGCGATCCACGAACTCAAGCCTGAACGATTTGTCCAACCTCTCATCCTTCTTTGACCTTGATTCCTTTAATGGGTATGTTTCTGGGGTTTTGTTCCTACTTGTTTTTCTGCACTTTTATTCGATTATTATTAAAATTTTTAAATTATTGTTTTGTAATTTTAAACTCTAATCATTTATTATTATTATTACCTTAAACAAGTTTTCTTGATTATTATTCAGTTTATCATCATTATGACCATTAAGTAAGTTGTTTTTCTTCATATCCGTTAATTGAACAATTAGCTGACCCATAAACTATTTTCTTCCTTACCCCTTGATTAGTACATAACCTCATTTGTTATTTAGTCTCGAATCCAATTTTCGTGATGTAATCTTTTCTATCCTCCTATAGATATTTATTTTCCAGATAACTATATATACGAATGTACAGCTTACGTAAATGATTTCGTCGAAAACAAAATTTTCTTCGCTGAATTCTCTTTTTCTTATTAAACAATAAAATTTATCACCATTACACAAGACAATAGACTCAGTTACTAAGTGAATAATTCATTTTTCGTTTAAAGTGAAAAATACTTATTTAGTGAACATCTGCGCTGTTATCCAATACTTCCAGCTGACGCGTCCCGAATAGGACAAAATGAACGTCCTTGATCCCACCTCTAGCCACCATAAATCTCTACTTATATTATGACCTTACTAGTTCGCTGATAAGCATATATTGATATAAGTAATGCCGCAGTGAAAAAGGTATCTAAATATTTTATTGAATCTAGTGCTACTGATAGTTATGAAGATTTGTCAGAATTAAAACTTATGGTTTGATAGGAATTAGCCCCGAAGTGTATAGTCTACTAATAAGTAGTTAAACGTTCTAAGTTAACAAAACTGTTTATCCTTGTCTTCTTTTGGAAAGACTAAAAAGCTACATTTATTAGTACATCTACTACAGTAGATTAGCTTCTCTTAGTACATTGTGATGGTTAGTAAAGTAAGGAAATGTAGATAATTACACATCATATGTTTCTCCCAAATATACACTAAAGTACATGTAAATACCAAAGGAGGTAAATTAGAAGGATAGTGATGAGAATATGTACAGTTTATTGAACATTGTGAACTAGTTATATTTCGCATGCCTAGATATTAATAATAATTCGTTTGCGTACCACTAACAGGACAAGAGACCCAGGCAAGGTGTAACAAAGCTGTTTACGATTAATGACAAACATTTGCTCTTCGGAGTATATAAGAGACCACAATAACTATACGACTTAAACTTGATCTTGAGAAGGAATCAGTGATTACTCTTTTCAAATTCCCGTAAATAAATATTATTACGATTCAATTAACTTAATTCATGTACGTTCTTTGCACATAATCCTCTACAGAACTGTCATTTCTAGTGCTCATAAAAACAAGCTTGGAAACGTTTTATTGAAATTCTAGGCCAAATTCGCTTTCTAAGCGACTTAATATTCCTTGATGAGTAGATGATCCTTACTTTCTAAATATGCTAATATTCATTTAGAGAATTTCGAATTAGCATTAGGTAGGGGGAATGAGACAAAGCCCACCGAATTTATTTTATACAGCAAACCGTTTTATTTTTGCTTTATTTACATTTGTATGGGAAATCAACTTTATGTAGTTGAGTATAATTGTAGAAAGATTTATATGAATCAAATTATTAAATCGATTAAATGACAAATTTCAGTTCTGTCGTAACCCATATATTTCAAGTAATGAATAGCAATATTTCTGTTGAATAGAAGGAACTAAATATTTATTTCTCATCTCTACAGACCACTAGGATGAGGAAGAAATGACATATCATTGGAAATGTTAAAACATAATGTTAGTTCTGACTCTTATTATCTAACTGATGTGTATTGGATTTGTATAATTTTCTATGAATTGATTGTTACGATACTTAGTGAAATAAACCATTTTTTTAAAATATACTTTCTCACTTTTCATGATTAATAGATGAGAATAGTTATATTTAAATTCAGTTTATACAGCCTTATTACATGAAATAAACAAAACATGAATTCAGTTCAAATTGCATAAATAATCCGAATGAATACTACATGTGAAATGTATAGTCAGTGTAACAGATTACGGTATGATAATAAAAAATTTTCTAAAAATGAGACTAGCTTCATCTTTCTTTCCACATGAATAATTGTCAAATACTTTTCAAATAATGAATTCTGTAATTTATCACAATAAAACATTATGCTTACACTTTTAAATGTGTATTATAGACCAATGCATTTGCTAAAGCCATAGCTCCTTTACACTGAACTCGGTTGAATGCCAGATCCAAAACGACCAATGGGCAATTCATACTAATTACTCTGGATAACAAAATGGCTCCATCACGTGAAATACGGTTGCTATGAAAAAGATTAAAGACTAATATTATTTCTTAAACAAAAATATGGTTCGAGATGGATAGTAACTAGAAGTGGAATCCAGGACGCGCGTTTCGTCCTATTTGGGACTCGTCAGCTAGATGTACCTGCATCTCAGAGTTGATGTCCACTTCGGGAGTCAAACCCAGTACCGTCCGCTCCAAATACCATCGCGTTATGCACACATGCCTATAATAGACTGATCAATTGCAATCTTAAACATCAATGGGAAAATTCAAACAACCAATACAAAAGTGAATTTAACATATAGATATTATTGAAAGCGTCTATTTATCTACAGAGAAAGGTTCATGAACCATCACAGGGTTATTACAATGGTTCAGTAAGTTAAAAGAAGACGACTTCACAAAATAAAACAATATTTGATTAACTTAGTAGATATGTCTCCTGTGAGTCAGTTTCTAAATAAGGGACGTTATGATATCAAATTTTATAATTTATGTAGTGGGGTCTCAGCGGGAACATTAACTTACTATGGTACAGAGAATTGTTATTGGAAGATTTCAAGTTAAATAAAAAGATATTCCCTTATTGTGATCGTAACTATGCCACATTGATGATAGTATTTCATATAGCGAGATGGATTAAAACGGATGGTTTCAAGCACTTAGCTGACTACACATTTCTTACTGAACTACAAGAAAAAAAATACCTCGAAATAAGTCAAAGTTTCCTTAGTTTTTCGTGAACTTATGAATGAGTGGTTCGTTTGCAAACAGAAGCATGGGTCAAACATTGAAGCAGACAAATAAACTATAGTAACTTGAAAGCAGTAACTTTTAGCATTTCTCATCAGATTCTAAATAATATTTAGTGTTGGATTTATTCTCGCGAATGAACAGTTTAGATGTTCGTTTCAGTGAAAAATTAATATCATCAGATTTATTCCTGATTTACTTTGCAAAACTTTCAGACAGAAGAGAACACAACCTGAAGTATTTTTTGACAGGTAACTTTCTTTAAAAGAAGTACCGGGATTGCCTAAAAATGGATCTTTCTATTATTATTTCAGTCATCACTTTTACACGCCAAATCGTATAACGACTGGAAATCTATAAATCTGGCTTGCTTTTGATATTTTCTGTTCTCAGCTGTCAAAATTCTATTTAATACACCAATTTAGCATCAATCTCAAGGTGACATAAATAGTATACCATCAGTAGTATTGTATGCATGGATACATTTCTCAAAATAATCAAAACTGTCTTGTAAAGATCTTTGTTTTTTCTTATCATAAGTGTAAAGCTACATATATTCACACGTTCCCAAATCTCCAATTAGATCACCAGAAGTTAGATGGATATTCACAAGTACCCTTATTATTTAGAACCATAACTCATGATAATCTACGTAGAATACAAGACCGCCACAATTTGTCGAATTTAACAGGTATCTAAAAGTGAAAATTCCGACTCAAAACTGAATAGAAAATTAATTGATTCAAAAAAGCTAGGATATTTCACAACAATTATCAAATTTAAAGAGAGCTTATAATCAGAACGACATAGAAAATTTGATGAAACAAAAGTCATATAAATTAACTAGCTAAAGAAGCTTTCTTTATATTTCCTTTTTCTCGCCTCTTCCTAACAAGAGTTTATTCATATTATTTATAGTCTTTTTGTCGACTGCCTATTACTTTTAATATTAAGTTGTCTCCAATTTTAAACGTGTGTATGGATGTTACATAATTTGTGATTATGACAGTCATTTATGGTTTGTAATTGAAATACTAACAACTGTAGCTAAAATAAGATAATTTGTTCTTAGTTAACACTAAGATAGAATGGTTTACTTACGCGCTTATATCTAATAATTCTAATGTATCATTACGTTCCATTGCCTCAGCTAAACGTGCTGCTCCAAAATCACGCATACAACATTTCGCCAAGTGTAATTCTTTTAAAGTTTTATTAATCTATTAAAAGTCAGCAAATGAGAATCAGATAAGAACAAAACTCTAACAATGAACATTTGAGCAAAAGAAATTAAAGTGTAAGATAGTATGAAAAAAATTTGATAAAAATGATTACTCTATTCAAAAGTTGCTTAGAGACTAAAATTTACCACTTATTGACATAATTCCAGACTGTGTAAATTCATGACTTTTCATGATTACAGATTGTATGAACCTATTACCCATCATGAAATAAAATTTGTCATCAGTGTTTGAATAATGTGAACTTAGATGTAAACTAAAGAGCAGAATCTAGATCAAATGACCCGTTTTCTTTTTTATTATACTGCAAATGTCATAAATTACTAATCAGTAACATAATCAAGCTTAGTATTTGAATTACAAAGCGTAGTTGAAAACGTTGTTTGTCTATATATTTTGAACTATGGGATACACCATGGTTGAAACAGAAAAATAGGTCATTAAGGACAATCAAAGTAATCTCTGTCTGCAAGGAAATAGGCGTTTTCGAGTAATTTGAGTATCATTATGTCTAATTCAGCATATTAATGTTTAAATGGTGGGGAATTGTGTACTATAGCAAGATTTCCTTAGTGTCTGATTTGCATGAGGTTTTTTTAAATAAATATAGAATGTATAGAATGTTAGATTTGAAGGCATTTAGCTCGATCATGTACGACAAGAAAATCTGTGTACTTCTGCGCAATCTAAAACTAGAAAAAACATCTAGTCGGTGATTCCCTAGCTAAAATTAGTTCTTTATGTCAACGGCCTTCGAAACTTTAGTTTGATGTTACTTTTGTGATGTGAACACATTATATCTAAGCAGTTATACGGTATATTAGTTCATGAAACTTATCCTTAAAAAATAGTCCATCACAAATTATCTTACACACAGCATATCAGCAAAATGCACAGTTGATTCTTCTTGCAACGTCCATATTATCTGTCGATTTAAATTAATCCCAATAATTGACTTATTACTTTTCAATACAGTAGCAAATGCAATACAACTAGTTATATCCTTTCGAAAAAAGATGAATGAAAAAGACACATATAAATTATAAAAATTCACTGCGTAACAAAAAACGAAAAAAGGATTTGTTTTAAATATTTGAATATTTAGCAACCATAACAAAAGTTTTGGCGATAAATTTAAAATAATAAATATTTTTATAAAATGGGAAACAAATAGGTCCAGTTTTTAACAGATAATCCAATGAAAACCTGTTTTGATTTTAGACATGTTTGAAAGTGAGATTGCTTAATACAACGAGTAAGAGCCAGTTGTTCTGAGGAATATAAAATTCTAGTTTTGTACCCAATCTCCCTATTTTGAGGAAATTTTAGGGAAGCCGCTATAGAAGATTTTGGGAAAATGGCACAAAATCCCCCAAATTTCACCAAAATAGGGAGATTGTATAGTTATGTGTGTTCATATGAATCTAATAACTAACGTCAAAATTGAACAAAGACATACATTTTTGAAAACTTTCTTTTCTATACCTATATGCATATCTTTGTAGTGAGAGTAAAAAACATTGATAAACAATTATGATGTGGTAGATTCAAGTATATCTTTATACTTTAATTACACAGATATTATACCAAACTATGAAATATAATAAGATAGGGTAGTATAAGAAGACTTTTCGTTAAAGTTATTAAATCTAAATCGAAAGTTTATTAAAAATCAGAAATGATTTCGTTCCGATCGTAAATTTTTGCTTGCTTACATCTACATTCTTCCATAAAGCATGCCCTGAATTCTGCTCCAATTTTATGTGGGACTAAACCTTGTAGGTTCCTTTGTATACTACTTATTTATTTTTATCTACAAAACTATATATTTTACTATAAGATGCCATCGCGTAAATTTTGAGGCTTTTTAAAAAAATATATATTTTTTCTCACTCGACTAACCTGATCACATTCTCCAAGATCTATAAATTCTAGTGTATCGTTTATTTGTAGCGCTTGAGCAAAGTGTAGACCACCTTTAGAACCAATTGGGTTCCCAGTCATTTTTAAGATAACCAAGTTTCTGTTATTCTAATAGTTTACAAAAAAATCAACACCGTTCGTTAGACTTTGAAAGACAAAGTATATATATATATATATATATATATATATATATATATATATATATATATATATATATAGTTACAATAATGATAAATAAAAATGAATGTTAACAAAGCTGACTTTCATAATTTTGGATTTACCATAGAGGGTTCAAATAAGGAGCCAACAGTATAGGGTTATTTTAATAAAATTCATGACCCTTTTTTACACTAATTTAAATAATAATAGTGAAATGATAATGAAACAGAACGAAATTGGCATCTATTGCTCTGATTCCCTAAATAGTGTCATTAATTGACAGGAACTAGTTTTGGGAAGTTTTTTTAGTAGTAATTATAAAGGATCCTTTTACATCTTGAAATGTTTGTTATTATTTTTTTTTGGAAAACAAATAAACAATTATTTTGTTGGGAAAAAACGTGATCACTTCATATAAGAGGTTGAAAAAGGTGAATAATTCTATATTGAATCAGTTATATTAGATTGTACATTACCTTTAAAGAATTAGCAAGAAACTGTGCGCCCTTCTCTGTGATATCATTACACATTAAATTTAATTCTTCTAACAGATTATCTACCTTTTGAAAATGTATAAATATAAAAACAGTAAGAATGTAGAAATGTATTTCTTGACTTCAATTATTTCAATGAACATACAATTGAATGTTGAAATAAAACCAGGCTGATGTATAAAAGTAAATTAGTTTAACAAAAGGGCAAACTGATTAAAGCTTCAATTTATTATTATAATTAAAACTATTTAAGTAAAATGTACTGATCAAACTGATATCAAAACCTTGGACAATATTTGTTAATAATTTCAACTTTACAATTTCAATAAACGTCATATATATATATATATATATATATATATATATATATATATATATATATTAGACCAGATTAAATATATATGTTATGAATGGTGTCTAGCAGTGAAACCTAATACACTCATTTAGTTCAATATTTGTGACTCATCAAATGCATATGTACCTTCATCGTAGTGTTAATGTTGACACAGAAGTTGAAACCTAGTGTATTGGAAAACTAGAAAACTATTCATTAGGCTTCTGTTAAGATACGACAACCGTAAACTTTTTCAATGGGTATGATCTCATTTATTATTTGCAACGGTTTGTACTTTTTTCTCTTTGTTGGTAATCAATGTAGAATGAACGAGTCTGGATAATCAGAAACAAAAGAATTCAAAAACTAATAATTATTAGTTGAAGTATCTGCATTTAATAACAAACTTATAACTTACATTTAAGAATTCACATAATATCTCAACTCCTTCATCTTTAATAAAATTGTAGCGTAAATCCAACATTGTAATACATGGCTTAAGGGATAAAGCCATACACAACGGTGGCAGATCAACACTAGTCAATTGAATGGCATCCAAATGATGGTTATTGCCACAAAGTTTTAAATATATTGCGAATAATCTGTCGTCACTATAACACAAGTAGGATATTAATAAAAAAGGAACGTTATTCATTTTAAACAATCTTCCATAGCCAAACAAAAAACACTCCTTGGAACCTATCTGGGGTTGCTGCCACTGAACGGTTGGAGCATAAGATCAGTAACTCAACCTCGTAAAAAAATAACCCCATAAAAACACGCCAATAAGAAAAAATTCCTTTAAACTTCCCCTGAGCGTTCAAATGTCTTCACATGGAAGATTTATAACATCTAATAACGAAAGTGGAAAATCTTTGGGATCCACGGAGCCAATGACCTTCTGACAACTAATGAAACAACTAATATAGGTACATGAAATATCCAGACGATGCGGGAGACGAAAAGAGTCATTCAAATAGCAACGAAAACGGAAAGGCACATCCAGCCCCTGCTTGGGAAACTAATTTAATGCAATTCGGACAACAAAAACTGACTTGGGGAGAGCTGTTGCTGTATTCTGTTTATGAGGCAGAAACTGCTCCCCTCACACAAACAAGGAGCCCCACTAATGGTATCTAGCGCAGCATAAAACTACTCTATAGGTTGACAGTCTCACACCTTCGTGGTCATTCGACCATCCTCCAGAACGAAGTAGAGCAGAATCCAAATGGATGTCTATCGGCGCTAAACCCCCAACAATGATGTTAGTGTAAACGAAAAAGACAAAGTTTATGAGAGGCTGCAGTTCGTCCTAAAGAATTGCCTAGGAAAAGGTCAGACCATTCTGATGAGTGACCTAAATACCAAATTTTGTATAAATAGCTCTAAGTATGAACGCATCATGGGGCGACATGGTCTGAGAGAAAGAGATGACAATTAAAAGAGTCTGATAGATCGAAATGCTTTCAATAAAACTGCTATGAATAACAGGATACTGCGTTACAATCGCATGAAAAAAAGCTTCATAAGGTTTATTGGACCACATTAAAGGAAAGTAGATCGACTAAATATGCATGTGTAAAAAAATCAGATGGATAATCAAAGACGTAAGAATAAATAAAGCTGATGAAGTTTAACATTACCACCTGTTAGTGCCCAAGGCACAGGCTGAATATTTCGGAGAAAGTAAACAAGCGAAGAAGAGCACTAGAGCTAATGAGTAGAAATACCTAAGACACCTGACAATTACAGAAGCACAAGGTGCAAGAGCAAAAAATATGAGAAAGTTAAGTTTAAAGAAGGAATGACTGCAAAGATGTTTCACGTTCTCTTCTTAAATAACTCTAAAGAAAAACGAGTACCAACAGACTAATATGACTGATACCTCATCAAGATACAGAAGAAAGAAGATTTAGGTGTGAAAACTGTAGAGGCAGTACACTTCTTTCAGTACTAAGTAAATTTGTCAACAGAATGAAAAATTTTGTAGATGCACAAATTTAATATCAGCAAGCTGAGTTCCGTGAAGATAGATAATGTACCACCAAATCATAATATTACCGATTACTGTTGAACAAACAAATTAATGAAATCTATTGCTAAATGTCAACTTCCTTGATTTTAAAAAAGCACTCGACAATGTATATGGGAAAACCTTGCAGCGGCTTTAACAGAAGTAGGCCTCATCATTCGCGAGGGTGAAAGCAAAATTCTGAAGTACAATACAATGAGCAACAACAAAATCAAACTTGATACCGAGGTTCTGGAAGTTTCCACGTCTCCGGGTAGCATCGCTGATAACTAAAGAGGGTCTGATGGGGATGGGAAGGTACAAATTCAAAAGGTAAGTGCAACATTCCTACAATTGAAAAAAGCATTTGGGACTTAAAAGAGCCGTCAATCAAGGTCAGAGTTGGAACTTCCAACACTAACGTCAAAAAAGTTCTATGGTACGGGGCTGAAACTTGGAGAACTATCACAACTATTGTCAAAAAGGTACAGGCATTTGAAAATAGATGACTAAACAAAACACTCCACGTCGATTGTCCAGATATAACCGGCAATAATCTAGTCTAGCAGAGAAAAAAGCCATCTGTTAGGTAAGGAAAAATTTAGGAAAAGTATCTAGAAGTGGATAGAATATATTTTGCGGAAATTATCAAACTGTATCACAGGGCAAGTTTTAACCCAGAGTCTTTAAGGCAAAGTAAGAAGAGGCAGACCAAAGAATACATACCGATGGAGATTTCAAAGACACATTAATACCCTGAGTAGCACTTGATAACAAGTGGTAAGGGATGGAGAAGAAAGAGTTGTTTATAGGTCCCTAATTGGTGATCTACACCGTAAGAGGAGTAGCAAACCTAACTATACTGGTAAATAAAACGAATGTGGCATTTTAAGAGGGCTAACAGATTTAAGCAAGTAGGTGAGTATGTCAAAGAAGAAAAGCACACTATACATATTTAGATTAGAATATAAAATATGAACACTTAATTTGAATGGTAGACCATGATTTTATTCTTAGGTAAAAGATTTCTATTATTTACTAAGTGCTTAAATATAAAGATCCTATTTTACACTTCACAAGTCCACCCATTTTGAAATAAACTCAAAAACTTCACATTACTTAGACTTCAATTGATTTGCTTGTCTCCACTTTCTATTTATTTGTCGCTCTTCTCACACCCATGTCGATTAACCACCTTAAATATTTGACAAACGTTAATATACTTCTTATATTCCTCTTGAATAACTTTCTCATTATAATAATGCTTGCGACTAGTTCAGGCACAAGATAAAGTGGGCTAAAGGGTGGGAGATAATAAAGAATACAGAGTTATGATTGATTAGAAGGATGAAAGTTCTTTTTACCCAAAAAGGGAAATTTTCAATGCGGATGAATTAAATTAAGAAAATTCCAACTCCAAAGTACGCTTAGATAATATTTAAAAATTGGAGAAAATGCTTTTATGGAATTCCCTAACGTTATTAAACTCCTCATTATTCGAAAACTAAAGGTTAACTGTAATAACACTCGTTGATGATAAGTATCACCTACAGCCACCAGTAAAACTGATTGGCATTGCCTGTAGCTTTTTCTGTGTCGTACAATGTACAATGAATAAAAAATTAACAAATTCATTTCAAGCTTTTTTTCTATTTCTTATTGGTAGGTAACGGTACGTAGTCTGAAAATAATTATTCATGCAATTTTCCGAGTTTACGGTATAGAGCGATAGAAACAAACAAGAATGTTAATCACAAATTAATTGACAGATAGGCATATAAAGCTAACTTTTTATCTAATTCATATTCCATTCTCATGATTTTACTTATAAAACTTGATGCCGGTGTTGGTTTGTCTTGTAAGCAATCCACGTAAGTTGGTGCTAATTCTTTTAAATTCTCTAAGTTTAACTCTGTCGATACATCACTATTTCTTTTCATGATGAATTTTTATTTTGAAGTTATAATTGAATGAGCCGAAATTTTGATAATGACGATAAGCTGTAAAAAATAAAGACAGCTTATGTAATCATTATAACTCTAAATTATATTGTCTATATAAGTGTTTCAAAAATGCAGTGGATCAAAAGAAAAGTGATTTTTTGACTAACAGCTTACAATTTCACAAAACGTACGATTCAAACATTGTATTTAAATATATTTGAAAAATTTTCCTATTTCATTCATAGTTTTGCGTTTTAACATTTATTCTACATTACTTTTAAAACTTTATTCACTAAAACACCATAAAATCTTAGAACGGTATTTTCATGGCTATCCATGAAAAATTGAAATTTTCAGCATTTTCTTGTCCGACTATTTCTACCTAGAGATCCAAGTTGAGCAAGTATGTATAGTAAAAATGGAGCAAAAATAAAACCAAAGTAGAATATGAATATCGAAATGAATAAAACTATCGTTGTAGAAAGAAGATATACTTTTCAGAAGTCGACGGGTTTATATCCTCTATGATACAAATTATAATTTCTCAAGCCCTAGTATTTTTGGCTCTGAATGAAGGCTAGTGGAATGTAATGGGGATAAGAAAGTAACTTGATATTTAAAGGCTACACTATTATTTGATTCATTGATAATGCGAAATACTTCAGAATAATATATATTTTTACTTGTGAGCACCTAACTCTGTAAAATTGAATGATCAACTACTCTTTCTGTTTTTTTCCATTCAACTAACGGTGAGTTTAGTTAAAAACTGCATGAGAAATCCAAATTATGCCCTATGTCAACTAAGAGTACGTCGACTTTATATATGTAAAGTGTGATTTATGATTGAATTTTCGATTTCAATGATAATGTCTTGACTGAGAAAGACGGATTTAGAGGTTATTAGAACGGTAGATAAACAATCACAACTCTAAAATTGCATTTGCAGAAGTAAGTAGTTGACCTTCAAGTTGAAGGAAATTTGCTAAAGGTGGTATTAAGGATTTTTCATGTTGTGCACTGAATGTGCAATAAAGTAAAAGTGATGAAAGGATGAGATAAAAGAAGAAGTTTAATGAATTGCACTTAAGATAATTTTCGGAGTTTCTAAAATACCGTGCTACGGGGAACTGTCTAACTTCAACCTACTCCCTTTGCGATGTATACTACTTATATCGGCAAATGTTAGCAGTATATAACGCTAATCAAAAGTGGAATACCTAGGAGCAGAAGATAAAATTGAAGAAAACATGAATGTAAAAAAACGAAGCAACTGTAATAACAACAGAGTTGAAGGAATCATTGAGCGTATAAAAAAAACTGAAGAAAGATGTCGAAATAATGTATTTAATGTATGGTTTTCATATTTTACCAAAACACTCTGTAATTTTGCACTAAACAACAAATTGGTTAACCCCAGCATTTATCCGTTTAATACATCATGTCGTATAGGAGTTTTAGGAGTGAATCGATTGTTGTTGTTAGATTATATAAATATTTCTTGTGTTATTCCGGGACGGAAAATTTACGAGGACGAAACAGCTAATAAACTCAGAACTCGCTACTCGTTAGCAGATTATCAACTCTTATTGGACCGCTAACAAATTGAACTCTCCACTTCGATACGTATTTTAAGCGTCATCTGTCAACACATTCAAAATAAAACTGAATGGGCTGAAAAATTCCCTATGCCATGCCTAATAAAGGATATCCAGCACTATGTCTTTATAAGCATAGTTAAAAACTGTGATCTCGTCTTGTAAGTGTTATAAACTCAGACTCGTCAAGAAAACGTAAACAAAATTGAGGAAAGAAAAACAAAAGGTTAGGGAAAACATGGAAAAACATATGTCTAAAAATTTAATAAGGAAAGGATAAGCCGATTTGTTACGCATACATAAGAAAATCAAAAGTTAAAAAGAATAAAACAGAAAATTGTAAAAGCCAGAAGTCGCTTAATGTTTTAAAGAATTTACATGCTAAAAGAAATCTGAAGCCCAAAATTTTTAATCACAAAATGATATTTCTGGATGTACAATCTACACGTCCATGTTAGACAGTTTTAAATGTTTATGTTCAAGACAGATGATTGAGGGTTTGAGTTAGATTTTTTCCAGCATTCTTCTGCGCCTTTTGGTGAGACTAAAATTTATAGACGACCTATGAAAGACGACAAAGTGGCCTTGAGAATGTCCACATACTGACTAAACTAAATAAGGGTTTTAAACCATAGTGAAGGACAAGGATTGTGATTTTCAGTTGATGGATAAGGATTAGATTTAGTGGTTTCATCAGAACTGGCATAATCTAAAATGTCAAGACTATTTAGCCAAATGGATGAAGAATTTCGCGCCGAAATCCAAGAACTGTTGCCGTATATCTGATTGTTTTGCCCACAAATTGTAATCTAGCCGTGTCAGTGGATCACCAATACTTCCAAGCAGTAACCCAGGTATATTAATGATAATAAAGGAAAAAGGAATTGGTAAATCATAGTAAGGTATTATCCTTAGTCATTAAGAATAGATCAAATTTCCTCTGAAAGGACTCCAGGGAAGTCGCTTAGAATAGCTCAGCTGGCAGCGAATTCCAGCATTTGACAACTCATGAGTAGTCGAAATTGTACATGCAGTCCATTTTGCTGTGTTGTGTCTCCAATTTCTGGCTGTTACCTCTTAGGTTTGTGTTGGAGCTAAACTTATGTAGGTGGTTAAGGGGATATCCAGAAGTGTTAAGGATACTATGAGCAATTGGGAGGTTACCTATAAGATGCCTGTTCTGTAGTGAGTGAAAGTTTAAGCATTGGATTCGCTCTTCATAAGGCTTGAATTCGAGTCCCCGAACTGATTTCGTGGCTCGCTGATAATACATGAATAAAGCATATAAAGATAGGGAGATAAAAATGGCGACTCTAACAAACAAGAAATGTATATGTCAGTTTTATAATTGACCGCATTCGTTTTTGTCATTTATAGAGTTGGTTAGCAAAAAATTAAAAAATTAATACATATGTGGGGCCAAACATTGTTATGAATAGCTATAAACACAAAAAAACGCCGCAGAGTATCTCTGTTATTGCTTCAAGGTACCGAAATATGATATCATGTCTTTGGCAGAGTTCAATTAGTAAACTGAAGCAATTCAAATGCACTAGCCGTGGTAAAGATTTTCACTGGTGAACGACATGTGCATGTCTTTCATCTATGCAAACCTTTCACTCGAATAAAAACAGTAAAAATATGTCAAAGGTAATGAAGTGAAGTCTTACGTATGAAGAAATACTGGTCAGGAAATAAACTAACACGGAAAGTCCATAAACTGGATAATTTTAAATTTTTGCGTTTGCTCGTCATGACGACAATTAAATTGTAAAAGTAAATTTTTACTCATCATTTATTCAAAATACTGTAGAATAATTAAAGATATGGTAATATTACTTTACCTTGTTTTTTCAAATTTAAGCCTCAACAATTTTTCAAATTATGCGTTACGGTGTAAACAAATTATTCAAAGATTAGAATAAAAAAGCGGTATTGACTTGAAAGGTCTATTATATTGTTACATTTTATCAAAAATAGCCATCACTGCCCAATCTTACTCAATTTTGGTGAAAGACTTGGTCGAATGATTCATAAATATTTGTGAGTTTGATGAAGGATATATTTGTTTTGTACAGAAAATTTGGCTTCGAATTAAGTATTTTTGGTCCGTTATTGTTTTATATGTAATGTTTAATTTGACAGCTGTCTTTAAAATGTATGTATAACTAAGTTTTTCATATCTGGATTGTCTGTAAAATTTGGTCTTTATTACTATACATGATTACCTAAACTGTGGATTCAAACGTTTTTATTAAACTTATTACTGCTCCCGACATCCGCAGTTGTCTGACCCTTCACGCTTTCGGAATCACACAGTCGAATCTTTAATTCTTACATTTTTATAATATTTTCTACCCTAGACTTTGAGTTCTTTGTTTTATAACCAGTGTCAACACAATATATGGATGCCTTGTGCCTCATGCTCTACAATTTGGTCTTTTTTGATTAAACTAATTGTTTGCAATTCAACAACAGTCATAAGTAAAATGCATCTGGAAACATATTTTTAAAGTTCTACTCTTCATAATGTTCTGTAGGTACTTGACTGTCGGTTGAAAAATACTACAGTCAAGATGACATTAAATTCAGACAAAGTTAAGCAGAAACAAGGATAAGCATAATAATATGAAGCAAATACATTTAAAAACGAATAGTTATTCTAATAACACTGTTGCTCTTCTTGATGTGCGCATTCTGTAACTTTATGACTAGGCTTTCTTTTGAAGTTATTTACCGACCGAGATGTGACCATTCTAAATTATCACTCATAAACATGAAACCCGAGTTTCATGCATTCCTGCACTCTTTGTCTAAGTCATGTGTTACCTGTTTCCTGATGTGTACCCATAAATGTTCCTAGTCGTTTCACTTCTGGCAAGGTAGTTTAAACCAATCACCCTTCTTTAATAAGTATAGTAAGTCAGTTGAAAGGTGTCAATCCTTGCAGTGTTTTATAGAGAAAATTCATTGTTCCCATGAGAGTGGTCACCTACGAGATTGATGCGACTGTTTCAGGTTAAGAGAGTCCATTCGTTGACCACTAAAAACCGTAGCCCCTCCCTAACTTAATCTAGTCGCAATATTCGAACCTTTATACGGTCCCCTTAAAGATGATTTATCCTAGAGGAGCAATAAAAGATTGTATACTGAGGCCTAAATCAATAAAAAGTCACCTCATGTTTTAATATTAGAGAAAGGAGAAAAGATATGAGCGTTTTAAGGTTACCTTCTGCATGTCCATTTGATAAAAATAATCTGGAATCGTAAATATTTGAAGGTTTTTCCTCGTACTTTGAACGTAAATAGGGAACTTCAGATTAGACTTTCCTTCAGTTAGTCTTTCAGATGATATAAAACCCCGTGCGTTATTGCTGTGTTTAATAAAAGTTCAAAATTTTCTTATATTTAGGTTATGGCCACCCTCAATTGTTTTCTTTGCAGCCTAAAATTTTACGCAATCTAATTTTATCCGTACTACTGAGTTTCATGAAAGATTAGCTGTATGAAGCAAAAGCAAAAATGAACACAAACTGACCCACCAAAGCCACTACAGCAAATTGACTGCTCGTTTAACTCGGAATTTATTGTAGAACTTGGTATTTTTGAAAGAATTTGTGGGCCATCGGTGATAATTTATAACATTCTAAAGACATTGTTGATTTTTTTTGCAAAATCCATAAATAATACATGAGCAAGTATGCTTTTTACCTTGATGTTGTTACTAAAGTTTATTCACTTAGACCCCTGAAGGTTGTCAAATATTACTTGCTGCTTAGTGCATATTTTGCATTTGTTGAGAATGGTTCTTTCAGTCTGAGAACAAATATACTACTTAGTACTTTGGTTTACATGGTTGCTCAACAAATATTTTGACTTAGCTGCTGGTGCCTCTTTAGGCCTTTAAAAAGAGCTCTCGAAAATCTATGAAAGGTTGAATCCTCTTCAGGTAGATAGCATATTTAAAAAATAGCTATTTTCGAGTAGATTAGTAGTGGCAATGAGATTGGAAAACACTAAGAGTGATCTAAGGTCAGGACGGTTTTTGATCAATTCTAAACAATCAAACTACGCAGTATTGTGGGTGTTTAGACTGTCGATTCACTGTCTTAAAGTTTAAAAATTATTTAAATATGAAAAAAAAACTATTTACTCCCTTGCCTATAGTGGAACGTGAGATATCATTGCTCTGAAAAGTTCTACTTTCGGGGACTTTGTGTGATGCTTTGGAAAGTGAAAATAAAGTTGGGAAACAGTAGCATTCCTTCTATACTTTTGCCTGTATCATCAGTTTGGTATCACTGTCTACCGTCTAATGATCTATTTCATTTGTTCTCTCAAACCCAGATTATCCGTCTTTGTTGTTCAATACAACTGATACACGTCGTTCAGTTTCTCTGCTCTCTTCCTTATTTGTTTTTCTCTTTGTACTAATATGAAGCGACATCCTGTTTAATATTATTAATGACAGGTTTGGATTCATTGCTGTAAGGAAGTTCGTGGCCGGTTACTATATTTATTTGGATGGATTTTCACACAACTTCACAACCTTCTCATTTTTAATCGTGATTTGTACTGTCTTATATATAGAGTTAGCTTGATAGCATTGTGTTTTCTCTTAATTTTACATTCATCTTCAATCCGATATGTTGGTTGTGAAACTCTGAATATACACCTGCAGATTCTAGATATAAGCTATTCTTATTTTTGTGGTCATGATTTTCTACTAAAGTGGCTTCGTTACAATTGAGTACGGTTTTAAAATATCTCCAATCTTAAGCAACATTGTTTGGAGAATCAATAAAGTCAAGAAATCCTGGGCAACTATTTTATTTGTGATTGCAATAATCGGTTTACTCAGAAGTGTTACAAACCCAAGGGACTGGTTTTGATATAGATTTATCAAAGTTTTTATTAAAAAACCCTAAGGTTGGTTTCAGATTCTCGTTGTTTGTATGGTTGGAGGTTACTCTTTTGGTTGTTTGTTTCCCTTCCACCTGTAGATAAAGCAATTACTGAGTAAATTTAAGTTGCCTATGTTCCACTTTAACTACACAACAATCGACAGATTTAAACAACTATGAAGTGAGTTTATAACATATTCACCGATACCAACTGTGATGCATTCTTAGGTGACGGGGTTGCTTCTATTGATTTTCTCGTCAAATTCAATCTCACTCGGCGTTTTATTCATTTTGGTATTGTGAACATGGTTAGATAAAACGTCATTCATTGCCACGGGAGTGTAGGTTGTAGACTTTTCTTCTTCTCTTTCTGTGTGTGTGTGTTTGTTTCAAAGTTGAATTGCGTGCCGCTAGGCTGGAACCATCACCGGCTTCATGGTGGATCTTCTGAACTTCGAAATACTTTAACCTCTAAATTATATAAGAGTAGTGTCATGCTTGGAATAGGTTAGCCGTTAATATTCTGCACCAACATAAACGTGAGGTCTTAGTAGATTCAGTAAGGTAAACCAGAGCCTGTGTTTAAAGACGCTATCAACATCAAGTAAGGAGCTCATAAAGAATCTTGATCAACTTGTACCTGGTTCTAGTTTATTCTCATCGATTTACACATCCATCATCCGTTGGCATTGTTATATTTACTATTTGACTGGGATTAATTTAGGGTCTTTTAAGCACTGGCTAATGAGAAATCACTGAAATTAAATGGAATCATTTACGCCAAGTTCTTAAAAGTTTATTCCAATTATATTGTGCAAGTTACATAAAATATAACTTTACAAACTACAGTAGAGCAGGAAAAGCAAGTATTACGAAATGAAGTAAATTCATCTTATCTCGTTTGCGAAAGTCTAGAGGACTAATATAAGTTTGCTTACGAACACTTATTAAGAAAGGAATTGATGTGTTTGCTTTCTAGTTTCTAACAATATTTTTTAAATATTACCGCCCATTTGGAATTTTTATACTTGTTTGCTAGCAAAGTAACATTTTGCTGTATACATTTTACCAGGGAACTTGATATTTCGTACGATAAGGTAGTTCCTAAGAGCCGTTGAGTTTTTTGTCATGGGAAGAACCATAGAAGATAGCCAACTAAAATTTTTTATCTCAATGCGTGGCTCCTCGAGAGTGTATAATTAAGCGATTCTGTATGAAGTTAAATTAAAAGTCTTTAAACCATGCAGTCATTGGTAACACATCAGGCTTCCGTGTTCGAATCAAACCGTCCACATTTTTAAAACTAACTCTATTCTTTCCTTATACTTATTATCTTTATCATCAATAAGTCACGATATCAGATTGGTTAAAATTCGAAATGTTAAGGCATTTTAATTAGATAAACTGCAACCAATACCCTACTAAAACGTCCTTTATTCTAGGGTTATGCTTAACTCACTAAGAAATAATACTCACATATAACTATATTTTTTTCTAACTGTAGATGGCAACTCCTAGCTTGAAGAAGGGTACATCTAACTCAGACCTGTTAAACCACACAGTTACCACACATTCTAACCCAGTTAGAGCATTTTATGAATTACCTGAGGGTGCATCAACATCTGCTCAAATAGTCAAAGAATCAAGAGATTGGCTTCGTTCTGTTTCAACATGTAGGCCATTTACACCTAAAGATAAAACAAGATCACTATTAAACACATTACAAACAAGAACTGGCTACAGACCACCAAGCGCTTTCAAGGTTACTGCCAAATCTTTTGACCCTTATGAAACAACAAGCAAATCGAATATCCAATTGGAACCAATTCATACAAAAGTAGGTAGTCCCCCTTTATCATTGTTTTCAAAAGTACAACAAACTTCGTTCTTGCAAATCAATCACTTTCTAGCAAATTCTCGGATCTCATTTACCCAAAAGTCCATATTATCATGTTAATACCTAGAAAATAAATGGCGCCTGAATACAATTTTGTGATTTTAGGATGTATTTTAAGTATTCCCAACCACCAGCTACCACGATAGGTGGTCAGTGTAAAACAGGTATCTTAATGTTATTATTTCAAACATAATTTAAACAAAACTACGAAATAACTAGTGTTTTATTTCTTTAAAAATATTTCTTTCGTAATAATGTGTCTTGAAATAAATTATTCACCTAAACTTTAGACCGTATGTTTTTAATATGCTGGTAAGTGTATTTTTTAATTGTTAATTTTCAGGATTTCATTTGATCAGTCTCTCTTTCTACATATTCCCTTTGAGCGAATGTTTTAACATTGTCTTAGATCATCAGTTTACTAATTTTTGGCGTTTTAACCAGTAGAACAATTCAGTCAGCTTTTCATCCTGTTCAGGACTCATCGTTGTATAAGTTCCAGCTATTACTCATACGCAGTACCGATTACTTCAAACCTCAACGCTTTATCCTCTAGGCTATCTAGTGCAGATGGTCAATAACTTGTTCGACGGGTATCATATTCATTATTAATAGTAATAAGGGCTTCTGTTTTTTCCGTTGTATCACATGAGTATGTTATGAGGTATACCTTGGATTATCTAACTCAGAATGTATGTACTAATTAGTAGCCTTGGCAGTATTCCTGAAACTGACTATACACTACCGAGTGTGAATATTTTATTTAATCTAAACATCTATTCATTTTTTAACGTATAGGAAAAAAATGTCCAGAAACCGTCAAAGCTTAGTAAAATTGAAATGAAACTTAACGTAAAACGAAAATCTAAAAATCCCGATGATCGAATTCAAGTTCGTCACTCCGGTATGTGATTTAGTCTGTTTAGATTATTTAAATACTTTTCCATCTTTCTGTAATCTAAAAAACGTTGATATCTCTACTTGTTATAACTGAAAAAAATACTGATACTACTCGATGCAATGAATTAGGTAAAACCGCGGGTGAAGGCTTTATTATGCAAGAATAATAAATCCACAAGCGATCCGACCACTGATCAACAACTATATCAAAATATATTGAGTCGTATCTGATTTACTTATCTGGACAATAGCCAAACTTGGATACACTGAACTGAATACAAATTAACCGACAACTTAATGCAAGTATAGAATTTACAACATCGTCAGAGTGAAATGCTTTTGATGACAAATACGATTAAATTGATAAGTTATATATTTACTTCTTAACTTATTCTCTAGTGTTCATGTTTGGTTGACCAAATTACTAAATTGAATCCCCCCAAAAAAAATAAAGCCCCGTTTTTTCTACACTATAATATTCGGGTTTTTGATTTTGCCTTATCACTAAATCAATGATATTACAAGTGTGAACAAAGACAATGAGACTTCTGAGCATTTGTATTCTGTTTTAATTTCGGAAAAGAAAGAAGTCATCTTATTGCCCCATACTTTTACGTTGTGATATGAATCTTAAATAATTTTCAAAATCCCCATGATACTGAATGTCAAAAAATCATTGGCAACGAACTGCCTTAACTGGTTGGATAAATAAATTTTGACTTAACGAATAACCATAGTCACTTTTGATCACTGAATTGTGGTATGGTGTAATTTATGTTATTTAAAAAGTCTACATTAAATTATTGCTGACACTATTCAACTTTAAGCATCAATATTTCTCTCACTTTATATAAATAAGTATCTAAGGAATATTTATTAGATGGAAAATACTTAGTAACAATATAATCACGTTTCAAAGGTAGATTGTTGAAAAATGTACCCTTTTGTATTTGTAGATTATTGTTAATATCATCAATTTAGATTCGACTGAAAAATTACATGCGGATTAATTCTATTGAAACTTCGTTCACTTTATCTAAATGCACGCTTCCGGGGGGTCCCATACTAGAACGAAACAACTATCGAGAACTTTTACGTCATCAGTAGTTGTCTAACTAAGATCAGCCCATGATTTAAAGTGTGGAAAAAGGGTTTAGAATATTTTATACTGTTATGTTTGCATTATTAAGTGTATAGAATTTTTCACACATTTTCGATGTGTTTTTATTAGTCTCAGTATTCAAAAAAGCATGATACATGGGTTCGAACTGGTCCAAGCCTATTATAGTATTTTTGATGGAGTTTTGTTCCATCAAAACCATTCACCTGAGCTACAAATCTTCTCCACAATCCTTATTATAGTGTGATCAGGTAAAGTTTCCTATTAATTACTTTCAACCACTTACCATCAAAGTACACAACTATATCGAATTACTTAGACTAAAATCCACACTGCAGTTTTATAGACTAACACTTTGGGGAAAAATATGAAATTGAGTATTACTCGCTTCTTGATTACCGTAAAGAGGAAGCCAGTTCGTGCAGTGAATAGAGCAGTAGCAATGTCACATTGTGTTACTAAATAACACGAACTTGAATTCCAAGCAAACATAGACTTCGTTAAGATTTTAGATCGGTTATCAGGATCCAGGATCCGCTTCGAAAATATTTCACCACTTTCTTATTTAACTGAAGATTATGCTGGAAACGTAGTCACTGTCCGTTATCCGTTTGATACTAAATACTTAAATATAACAAATTTTTCTGTAGTTAGAACAGTTGATTGAATACACTACTGAATAAGACATAAAATACAAAACTCAAGTGGATGGCAACCGGTAATCCAGTCAACCTTTTACGAACTTAATAAAAAATAATCTACCATTGATAAGTGAAGTTCAAAGTAAACTTAGTTTGACTTTTAAGAATATGTTTACCATCATATACCAGATCGAAGGAATAAAATGGATTGATAAATAAAAAAGAAACTGGATTATTCCGAATCACTTAAAAAAGTACTGTCAATAAAGATAGAAATTTCATTCTGGTTCAACAGGGGAAAATATATTTTCAACAATACTGAAAAATACATTAACATAGATCCTAGTACATAATGCATTAGCTTAAGTTACTACAACTCGTGGATAAGATTAAAATGCAGGCGTCAAGTAAGACTATTATAAATACATTTGAAACGAATAAATCACAAGTAGTAGGAGATTTGACAAACCTGTCACCCGTACGTAAAAAAATAATCATAGTAAAACGATTGTTGGTACGGTAATTTCACTGTTTTATTGCATTGATTTAAGAATGCGATTGATGGAATATTTCGAGCATATGTATATCTTTTATTCATGCTTCAGGGACAAAGCTGAATAGCTTAAGGGATCATTGTATCTATTTCATGTTTGACAGGTAGTTAAATATTTTACTGGTCATACAAACAGAAAAGATTGGTAAATATTAACTAGGCTTTTCGTGTCCTTTGACAAAATTTCGTCAGTGATCAGCCATTATTTGATGATGGGACTATTTCATTGTTCCACTTACTAAATACACTAACGTTCTTGAACCAACTTTTAGGCGTTCAGTGGGCACAAGTTTCAAGACCGGGAATTATTTTAGTCAAACCAGCTTATTTGTGATTAGTATAATAGGATTACCATCTTTTTATACAATTTATAATGACCACTGGCTAACAACAATGTGAGGTCTATGATATCGCTAAGCTAGTAAGCAATTGTTCATGACCACCTCCCATAAACTTGCGTTTTAATAGTATCATAAATGTATTCTACCGCCTTTCCAAGCTTCATATTTATCATAGACATTTCAACTTTATTAGGACTCGAAAGACCAGTGTCAATAGCCCACTCAGGTCGCAACCAAATTTTAAACAGCTGAAGCGTTGTTCAAACACTTTACATTAGGATAAGTATTAGCTCGAAATACTTAACAGACAAATGAAAGTTCAGAAACAGTTTGCTTTTATTGACATGTATTTAGTGTTTTTAAGGTACATCAGAGAATAGATTTTACTGGAGCTAGTGTTTTATTATTTCATCCCCTTTACAAATAAGTTAAGGTGGATGATTTATAGCTAAGTTATTATACAAATCTTGGTAAAGGAATTCAAATACACATATAAACTATGGATATTTGTTTTCTCTTTGTGTGCCCTGGTATGGCCGAGAGTGGGGTGGGTTCGCCCTCCCTCTCGAAATACTGTCACCCGGCCAAGCGTATACAGCCTCTGCCAGGGAAGTCCTACTCACTGCCTTCACGTGGCGGGGGTGTTGTTTACGAAAATGAGAGGACGAAAAGCGAATGTCCGGCGCTATAACTGGATCCCAAACCAATGTTGCACATGAGCTGCAGTATCCTGCGGGAACAAGTGGCGTATGAACCAATTTTCGGTCACCGGCTTCCATGGGACTGTATCTCCTCACGATGCTCCACTGCCTTGTGGATTAGATCTTTAGGTCAAAGGCTCGGGGTGTGGCCCCCTAAGAAAACCACCTGCTTCCGTCTGGGCACCCGGGCAGTATCCCAGCCCACGCACTAAAACGTGATAAACTATTTACTTATGGAAAATATTCTTTTCGCTTTGATTTACAATGAAATGACTTACACTACTATTATTATTATTGTTATTACTATTATTATTATTTTACCACGTCATTTATTCACTTTCTCTTATTCCCACTTTATGTATCCCTTTCAACTTAGACAGCAGCTCACCTATGGTGAAAATTCGGTTCTATTTAAACGTTCTCGAGTCACTGCCTGGTTGAAAATTGTATGTTACCACCGAATGCGAGTACTGAAGCAGTTTTTCTGAAACCACGTGCACCATTCAAACTGGCTGCCTTCAACGTTTGCACACTTATGCAGGTCGGACAACAGATAGGGCTGGCTATGTCTTTGGAAAGTCTTAATATTGTTGTGTGTTGTCTATCCGAGACCCGTATTCAAGACTCTGGTGAAGTACTACAAATTCACTCTCCATCTGTCGCTTCAAAAAGCTTGTTTTACGTGAGTTTATCCGGTGACCCTGCGGCATCTTCGTCTGATCTTGCTGGCGTTGGTGTCGCACTAAGCGCTAGAGCTGAGGCAGCACTAATCGACTGGATCCCCATTAACAGTCGGTTATGTGCTGTTAGATTAGAAAGTTCCATCAAAGTGAGAAGAAATCGGCGTGAGAAACGATGACTTTTCGTCATCTCCGCCTATGCCCCGACAGATTGCAGCCCGGATGCAATCAAGGATGAGTTCTACCACCAGTTAACTGTTCTTCTCCAGAAAGTGCTTTCGACAGATATTGTAGTACTAGCCGGAGACTTGAATGCTCAGGTCGGGCGTCTAGGCACAGAAGAGAGTCGTTTAGGTGGCCGATGGGGACTCGTTGGTCGCAGGACAGATAACGGGGAACGTCTACTGCAGCTATGCACAGACAACAACCTGTTTCTGGCTAGCACTAACATTCGGCACAGTCATCGCTGATGTGCCACCTGGCGTCCCCCTTCTGCATCTCAAGCCTGGACTCAGATTGATCACATCGCGATCAGCTACCGCTGGCGTGGTCGTGTACAAGACTGCCGCTCCTTTTGGAGTACCTATCTGAAATCTGATCATGCTCTGGTCTGCGCCAATCTTACCTTACTTTTCAGTGGACAACGAAGTGACCGCCACCAAAGGATTGATGTTAGCAAGCTGGCTGAAAGTTCTGTTGCTAGTAAGTACCGAACTGAGCTAGCTTCTAGGCTAGCTACTATTCCACCGAAAAGTATAGATGAGCATTGGTTGCAATTGCATGACGCCATGAAAATGGCGGGTACAGTCTGTTGTGGGTTCGCGAAACGTCCCGCTTATAAGCCACTGGGTTTCTTCTGGTTCCTTACAACTGATTGAAGCCCGTCGGTCTACTCCGGGTGACCGTGAGTTTGACCACAGACGAAGGATGTTACGTAACGAAATCGGGCAAAGCTTGCGTAAGGACCGAGAAGCCTGGTGGTCGGAGCGTGCTAATGAGCTGAAAGCAGCAGTTGCATCTGGTAATTACTGGAAGCTCTTCCAACTCATCCGAGCCACTGGCAGCAAGAAGTGTGGTGTGAGCGAAACAATCTGCGAGGATGGTGGGATGCCAATCACTAACATCCATCGACGTCTTGGACGATGGGCAGAATTCTTCGAAGGGCAGTTCAGCTGGCCTGCTGCTCCGGCAACGTCGGTCAGACTGTCCTGTCCTCCATGGCCGGTGACGACTGATCCACCAAATGAGGCGGAAGTCCGCAAGGAACTCCAACTCTTGAAACGCTACAAATCACCGGGCCCAGATGACTTACCTCCAGCTCTTTTTAAAGATGGTGGTGACTTTCTGACTAAGGGACTGACGACGTTGCTTACCAAGGTCTGGGAACTAGAGAGTGTACCAACGTCATGGAATGAATCGATAGTTGTCCCTATCTTTAAAAAGGGTCCACGTCGTTCCTGTAACAACTATCGGGGGATAAGTCTACTTCCGATTATGTCCAAGCTATTGGCTTCCGTCATACCTCGTAGGTTGTTCAAAACCCGAGAAAGATTGACTCGCGAGGAGCAAGCTGCTTTTTCATTCCGGTCGAGGATGTATTGATCATATCTTCACCCTCCGCCAAATGTTAGAACACCGTCATACTTATCAAAGGCCAATAATCGTAGTGTTTCTTGACATCAGGGCTGCCTTCGATTCGTTGGATAGAACTGTTCTCTGGGATTGTCTATTGAAGAAGGGTGTGCCTGAAAAGTTTATTAACATCCTAAAAGCCCTATACACAAACATCTTAGGCAGAGTGAGGGCATACAACCACCTTTCTCCATTGTTCCATTCAAGCAGTGGGGTTAGGCAGGGTTGCCCAATCTCACCATTCCTCTTCAACTTTGCCATCGATGACATTCTGGAAACAGCTCTGATGGATGTAAGTAATGGTGGTGTGGATCTGTTGCCTGGAGAAAGACTTCTCGACCCTGAGTATGCTGATGATATTGTCTTACTGTGCGAGAATGCCCAAGCTATGCAATCCTCACTTAATCAGTTGGCAATCAATGTCCGTAGGTATGGTATGTGCTTTGCACCTTCGAAGTGCAAAGTACTTCTACAAGACTGGCAGAATTCTAATCCTGTACTCACTCTGGATGGTGATCAGATAAAAGTAGTCGATAAGTTCGTGTATCTGGGTAGCTGCATAAGTGCTGGTGGTAGCGTGAGTGATGAGATCAATGCACGTATAGTGAAAGGCACAGCGGCTTATGCCAATCTGGGCCATCTTTGGCGCCTTCGTGATGTTAGTCTGGCTGTAAAAAGTCGGATCTACAACGCGTCGGTGAGAGCAGCTTTGTTCTATGTTTGTAAAACCTGGCCTTTCCGAGTTGAGGATGTTAGACGACTCTCTGTGTTCGATCATCGCTGTCTCCGAACGATTGCTGACATCCAGTGGCAACACCATGTTAGTAATGCAGAGGTTCGGCATCGTGTGTTCGGGCAGAGAGACGACAATCCAATTGGTGTCACCATCTTGAAACACCAACTTTGGTGGCTTGGACATGTTCTACTAATGTCGTCCCAGAGAATTCCTCGTCGTGCATTATTTGCCGACTCTGGGACTGGTTGGAAAAAGCGGAGAGGTGGTCAGCATATAACATGGTGTCGTCGCATGAAGGAAGGCTACAAAGGGCTAGCTTCTGTTGGTCCTTCACGACTCCCCGGCTGGGGTCCGAGAGATGGTGTAACGCAGTGGCTAGAGACGTTATCAGATATGGCTTAGAATAGAAGCCAGTGGCGATCCTGCTGTAACCTTTTACTTTCTTCATAAAAAGTGGTTGCTCCTTCCTTAACTGAAAGATTTCTTCTGATTGTACCTTTCCGTTTCCCCCATTATTGTTCCCTCTCTCTTTTTTTCATAATTCCCCACGTTCACTACTTTTTTTTCTCCTTCTCTTCAAATTATCATTGTTTTGTGTGGCGCATGTATATTTGGTGCCCCCTTGTACCAATATTTATGTGTTCAAATAAATAAATAAATAAACTGGGAACCCTTTTGCGCTGATTTAAGCATACATTTTCAATATCAAACTGAATTTTTTATATTGGTTAAGTAGTTAACTATATTTTAACCCGAATGGTTTCTTTAAGTTTCCTTTCTTAAGACTAAAGAATACGAACGTTTCACCAGGAATGTGTTTTTTCCCTTTAAAATGCCATTCAAGTTTCCAATATAAATAATTTATCTCAATTGACTTCATAGTCTATTCTGTCTTTTTGTCTCCAAATAATTGAATTGGTTGATTGATCTGTAAAGTCACTTTCTAACTTGGAAATAACAACGACGTAACTACTAGTATTAAAGAAACTTTCATTTCATTAAAGAATTAACCGTATATTATCGTCTTCCACTTTGTAAATGTCAAGTTTTTCGTGATGCAAAAAAATTACTACAGGAATCCTTGACTAGCAGCAATCTACAAAATACTTGTTCTGTTTGTTTGTCTTGTGTAACATACTAATGGTCTCCTATGTCTTAATCATCTTATGTCTTCATATTTTATGATAGATTTTATCGTAAACTAATATCAGCTGGAAAATCAATGTAAAACACATCCTTGTTCTCAATTAATTCACAATGTACATCGATAGAGGCTAATAGGTTTTATAGTGAGCTCATTACCCCTAGGCTTGAGTTGAAATTTATTCGTCCACGTTTTCAATAAACATATATTGCTCCTTGACAGATATATCATTGAATGGGAGACCTTTTGGTATGTCTAAAGTATTTCTTAGCATATTTACAAAGGTGATCACAAAAGCTTTGAGTTTTGAACCTCAGACCGTATACATTTTGTTAATGGCAATCGTACTACCTACCTTCCTAACTGTTGACAGATGTATAAGATATGATTGTTTATGGAAATTATCGAAACAATAAATTATTAGTTGAAATAATACAAGTTTATCAAGTTATTATTCTATATTTAATTTTATGATAAATAACATTCAGACAAAGAACTTTTTATTTCAGCAACATCGTCTCAATCCGGTGGACCCACGGAAGAACCTGTTTTGACTGACAGTCATAAAAATTCACCACGTCTGGAACTTATTGGCACACAGACTCGTCTGATCTCCCCGATAAATGTTAAGCGTCCACTTTGTTCGGTTCTTAAAGCAGAACGATGCACCGCTTCAAAGTCTCCATATGGTAGTTGTACCGAGTAAGTTTAGCCTATATTGTAAAGTACGCTCTAGTATTATGTTTCTGAGATATATATAACTAGCAGATCCATTAAAGTCATCCGAACCGTTAATGATAAGTCCAATTACAATTCATATGTATGGTAAACTGGATAGAACCAAAGATCTTCAGGTTTCTCAAGGAGCACAATATCTTTAAGCTACCATGTCGGAATCAAGTGGTTCATATTTTTTCAAATCCCATCAACTAGTGACAAAGAATAACTCTTATTCAGTTATGATGTTTAAATTTCGGCCTTATTATCCTTAAATGTTGTTACTTCTGACAAGAACTTTGGTAAATTCATCTAAAAGAAACTCATGGGTAAGGATATGAACTGACGTTGACTAGAAAATCATTTATAACTAGATAGTACTGAAAAACTGCTTCTTACAAGTTTGAGACTTTAACAACACTCAATTGATATGTCGTACACAGTTGAGGCTTGAAAATTAATACCTTCAAAATGTAGAAAATCTTCATGTGATTATTTAGTTCAATAGTTACAAGATTTCATAAAAAATGAATTGAAATAACGAAGATTAGAGGCAATAAATATTGTCATGAAGTTTATCAAAGTTGAGGAAACGTAAATCATGTGCTATAACAATATAATTACTACAAAAACTAGTATTGATATCTAAATAAAAAAACTCTCCAGTGTAAGCTATTGCAGTTATCAAACTTGATGCTACGAAAAGTTGTTTTTCTTTTTTAATGACGTTGGTTCGTGATTCAGGCTGACATTATTGTCAAATAACATTGGACTAAAGTAATGAAAAAGAACAATGTAAATTAGAGGTTGAAAAATATAGTACTAACTTGTTTTCCGTACTTCATTTTGATTTATCTGGTCGTGGCTGATTGTTACGGCGGAATCGCTTATCACGTATGCTTATAATGCGAGGAATCACTGTAATTCATACGATGCGAAAGTAAGAACACAAAGACTGATACAAGTGAAGGTTTATTAACCCCAAAACACGACGACGATCCTAGTGGAAAATAAACTCAGATTAATTATGAGGATAAAATCACATATATGAAAAATACTTACAGTTATAACAAATCATATGCTGAGTATAGTTCATGTCAATTTTTAATACAAGAACAACGTATGTTATACAGAATAAAATGTTATACGGGGAAAAAAGGTACTACATTGAGTAATCGTTACATTGAATGAAAAACGGAAGTAATATTGAACAAAAATTATAATTGGTAAATAAATCGGATTTTGACTTTTCATCCCGTCATATCATATATTTGTAATTTAAGCATATCGAAATTATAATACCTGATCTCTATTAATTTCCACGATCTATGAATAAAAGTAGTCGACTTTTTAAAATTGCTACTGTAAATTTATTGCATTCAGTCTTTCAAAGTTGTTTCACTGTTCATTAGAATTTTGTTGATGTATTTATTTTGTATTGTCCAATATAAGTTTCTTTCTTTTGTGCCGGAAGTTTCACAAATTTTACCTTCTAATCTATTAAATACTATTTAGTACAAATTCAGTACCACAGAGGCAGAAAGTTATATTTACTGAAAAGGCTGGAGAAGAAGCGTGTAAAATCAATTAAATGTCTTCTATAAAATGGATACCTTTTAGGAAATTATCAAGAAATATAGTACTAAACACCATAGTATGGCTTAAGTACACAAACTGAAAAAGTAACATTTTTATCCAGTTAACATTCAAAGGTAATAGAATCATGAATAAAACAAACCAAAAACTAAAGGTAACTCTAAAGAGTACATTTCCTGCTGCGAAATTGTTTTCAGTGTATATAACGGCATGTTCAGTAATATAAACGAAAGTAGGCGAATACCCGTCGCGTATCACAAACTGACTATATCAATTGAAATGTCAATACTAAAGCATGTACAGTAGAAAGGTAAAAGCATGGACATCACGCTTTTTTCGAACGTATTGCAAAGAACCTATGTAACCAAGGAAAGGGTGTTTTTCTCAGTTTGATAGCGCGACACCTTGAAAGAAGTAATAAAGTGGATGCAATGAATGGATTTAAAATAATCAACAAGCATTACAACACTACGATGTTATATTATTTTGTGAAACCTATAGCAACTAGAAGGCTTGAACCTGACCTTTGTATTCAAAAAGAGTTCGAGGTTAATATTTTTTTTCTCTTTTCGTAACCAAAGTACTATAATCTCTTTTCCAAATTTTATTGTTCAGTTCATTTTAATCCCAATCTAGTGAGTTTAGTTCATATATCTTTTCTTCCCAGAACTCTTCAATCTTTTTGTTATATTCTACAATGAAAGTTATCTTAAATTTACTCTAGAACTGTCACTTAAAAATTTTAATTCTTAACTACATTCACATTTACATTGCATACACCTCACTCATTCTTTATTGTTGGATAGTTCATTTTTCAAAACAACGAAATACAATCAATTCACTGTATTCTACAAACTAATCTTATTTCTGACTTATTTAGATAAAAAGTATTGCCTCTCTCACTTACTGATATGAGTATAAATCTCTGTAAGTGCATAATATGCTTCAGAATTACATTTAAACTTTAGCAATAAGTATTCAATTGTCAAATTATCTTATTTATTATTTCTAATCATTTTCTGTTCAATAAGCTTCGTTGCAACACAAAATCACATAGTTTAATCTTTTGATTACAAAATTGATGAGTTGAATTCAATGATCATTTTAAACTAGACAAAATAATTCTGATTAATATTCACTTATAGATTAATATGATTTTCCATTTCAATTCATTCTTTATTTGTTGCTCATTTTAAAATTTATTCTATTGTTAGACTTCAGATGATGTCAACTAATCAAAAACATTTACAAAATACTCAAGTGGAAATTAAAAAAAATAAGAATATCTCCTCAAAAATTAATTCTATTCTACCTGAAAAATATTCTTCCACTAATAGAATAACAACAAATATTTCCGCATATCCTTATTATCTTAGTCCTCCTGAATTGTCAATATTATCTTCAATAGATGATAATCAATCGTTTAGACCAAATAGTCCAATTGATTCATTTCTTTTATCAAATAGAACAATTTTAACTACTGAAGAAGAAGATAAACATCAATTTAGATCTAATGGTATTCGATCTGCTGTTACTGGAACAAATACAAAAAGAGAATTTGCTAAATTAATTGTCGATGAGAATAAAGTTGGTGATATGAGTTAAAATATCATTTTGTTTTCATACTAAACTTGATTTATTCATTAAGGCAGATTTTTTTCTTGTTTAAGAAATATTTCTCAACTATGTATAGATTAGTTTCTTTAAAATAGTGTTTCGTTTAATGAAGTTGAAAGACATTGAATGCTAATTTGATTTTTGTTATATTTTATTGTTTGAATAGTGATGTGCATTATCACAACCGATGTCAATGGAGCTCATTGTGTCACTTTAATTTCGTTTAAACTGATATACATAACCAGTATATAGGACTGATTTCCTTAATGCTAATACTAGAATATACATTTCGAACATTTATATAAATAGTTTGGTAGAAATTGTGCATTAAATATGACTCAGGTTACATATATTTAATGAAAGCCTTTCTTGCTTGACCAGCTCCTTTCTAATATGAATGTTTAAACAACTTTTTGCAGTTCAAAATAAACTCATCATTAGATCTGTTATTCATATTAATTACTATGGTAGTCCCTTATTCAAACTGCTTAAATGACGTAGAATGCCACTAAGAATATCATTGTATGAGTATCAACTTAGTTTACTACTCCAAAGAGAAAAAGTTCCAATAAATTTAGACTTGTCAATTAATGTATAGATTTATAGAAATAATTATTAGTTATCAAGGAATAACATGTTTCATGTACATCTTTAAGATTGAAGTCATCAGCATAATTATATGATCTTACTTACTTACTCACTTACGCATGCTACCCCTCGTGGAGGAGCATAGGCTACACACCAGATTTATCTGATCACTAGAAATTTTCCACTATTTGATTACTGACATTTACTGTTTTCTACACAGAAAACGTTTTACTCTCTATCTAGTTGTATCATTTATAAACTCAGACAATAAAATTTATACTTATTCATATTAGATTTCTAGGAAACATAGGAATTAACTTTCTTAACAATCCCACTTATGAAAAACTATACTTGTCGAAGTGTACCATTTATTTGTTGTTGTTTTTTCTCTTTTTTTGTTTGGTTATATCAAATCTTAATTTTAAAGTAACATAAAAATAGCCCTGTTAATCTTGACAAAACAATATTCTTTTCCTTTAAAAAATTTTATACTCTTTAAAAAAATTTCATTTTGCTAATAAACAATTCACTGTTTCCAATGGTAACTCAAACTATATTTTTCTTCTTGTTAAACGATGAAATATTCATTGTATTTGAATTTATCAAATTCTTATCTGTATAGAAAGATTTTTTCCGCTGTGTATACAGTACTAGTACATCTGAAGACAACTAGATATAAGAAGAATTCATTTCTTAAGAGAATAAGGGGAAGCTTAAAAGAATTCTTGAATATTGAATATGTTGTTTGTGTATGCTTGTCTACTTATTTGCATAAGTGATTATTTTTTGTGTATTGATAAATGGAAAGTGTAACAAAAGTGAAATTGTAATTAAGAATATTTCCTATATATATAATTCGTTTAGTGTTTTTATTTGTCCAAACTGGTTCTATGTTTATTTGGCATGGTGTTACTTATATTACACTACAGTGAAATAGGAATTTAACCAAACCAATCTTTGTCAAACTGTATTTATATACTGCTACAACTATATTACTCAGAAATAGGAATATACAGATACGTCTACATCATTGGTTTACTTAGAACAATGGAAGATGGGCACCCTTTAGATAGGTTTCTAGTTGACTACTGATCACTGAAGAATAAACTTAACCTTTGTAACGTTTACACTAGTTGTACTAAAATAAAGAGGTATACATTTTGAGCTCGGTTGAAACTTCTCACACCAGATCTATCTAATAAAAATTATTGAATAACCTACTTCGTTTTGTAACTCAGTAAACATGTCTTCTACTCAACAGTATACTATTACTTATCGATAAGGTTAATCTCATTAAATTTTTATAGAGAATGTTAGCCAAAAGTTCATTTAATTTATTTATTTGATCGCAATGAAAATACAGACAACAATTATAGATTTATTATGTATTGTCCTGTACTCTGTAGTTCAAAATCGTAGCATATATATAGAACTTCGCAAGTAATGTCTCTTACTTGTATTGACATTTAAGGTTATTAACCATAATTTTTATTTATACACATAGTTTCCTTTATCATTTTGAAGAGAACAAGAACAAAGATTCTAGCAGAATAGTACGAATTCATTTTATTTCGTTGGTTCCCGTAAGCAGTTTACAACCTTAATTCATACTGTTCTGCTAAAATCTTTGTACTTTCTCTCTTTTCAAAATTTTAATTATTTCATCAACTGTTATTTCAAAGAAAGGGATATTTCACAATATTGGTGCCCTCTCGCAGTACCTATGTTTAGCAGTCAATACTTATTGTTTTAAAGCTCATTTTGGCCTTTATTGAAAATAATTATCCTTACTAATATAATTGACAAATGACAACCGATCCTTTTTATAATAATTTTTATATTTAAACAATTAATAGACGTTTAATTTTGATCATTCATGATAGATGACAATTCAATAGATAATCAAGGTTATGCTGCAATTATTCAGTGCTAATATTTAGAGTATACTATTCAAACATTTTTATGACTGAATTACAAAACTGAAGTAGCTAACACACAATAAACCAGGGATGAAAAATTAGATCATAATGATCTACTGTGATAAATTTAGATAAAAATTTTAAGAATCACTCACTCTTCTTAAGAAAGCTAGTCAAAATCAGACTGTAATGAAACTTGTAATATCAAACCAAGCCGCATAGAATGCACATGAGTCAACAGAAACCGATCAATTGTAATCCTTAATGTAAATAACGTGAAAATCTAATTCTGTGCATATATATTTCCGTTTTTTTGCAAATAAATTCACTAGCCTAAATCTTGTGGTCCACATAAACGTCCAGTCAATTACGATGTAACTAATATAAATTTATGTGATAAACTTCAAACATCTGTTTCCAGTGATTCTGGTTTGTCATCCGTTACAGAACTGGATAATTTAATTTATCAATTAAATGAACTGTCATTGTCAACATCAACGATAAAAACAGAGATGTTAGAATCATCACCATCATCATCCTGTACAAATTTACAGAATTCTAAAACATTTGATTCGCAAGCATTGTTTAAAGACAACAGTGATTCATCGGTTCGGGAACAATACCAAAAATTAAGCGAAGTAAAAACAAAAGTTACAACTTCGACAAAAAGTATTCAACAATCGATGAAGGAAGAAGAAACTGTTCATTCAAATTTAATAACAAATAAATTAAACGAGAATGAAATCATAGATTTATTAGATCGTATACAAAACTGTATTAGTGAATTTGATTTGGAGGGGAATCGAAAATGGCCGAACCGTTCAATGTTATTGAAAGCTGTATTCAACTTAATTAATTATCCTTCATCAAGGATACATCTAGCAGTAGCTAGATTGATCTTTACAGTTAGTAATAATTTAGTTAGCTAATATTTCTGTACGCATAGTTTTGTTACTGGCTTGATAATTTCACTAAAATCCCATATCCTATTTTTAATATGTGAAATTTATTTTACATGGGATTGTTCTCTATTTTAACACTGAATGCAACTACTATGACGTCATTTTTCTGTGTTTAATTGTTCTGTAAATGCATACTACACCATCTTGTAAAGAATCTGACATTTTATCCATCTCTGTTTCCAAATTCAAACTGATTTAGAAACAAAATTATGAAACAAACATTAATAGACGAAACGCAAGCTATGTCAACAGGAGTATGCATTAAATTAATATCACTCACTGGGTTCCATTGTCTATAATAATATTTGTAGTAGTATTTTTATTCAGTAGTTCAGTCGTACAAATTCTAGCCATCTAATATAAAACTTGATCTTCACTTCATCTGCCATGAAATGGACATCTATGAAGTATTCTTAGTCGTCTTACAATGTGTGATTCAGAGCAAATTATTTTTAACCTTTCTCTGATTTTTTAAGTAAAAAAAGTGTATAATAACAAAAATCTCTTTATCGATACTAAATACTTGATTACGGTAAGGAACTTTCAGCTTATGTGGTAAATTGTTTTGATTAAATTTCTCTAACATTCATTTTATTGAGGAAATTCAAAATAAAGCTGTTTAAAAACCGTTTTTACAACGGGACTTATTTAACAACTGCCCTTAAACAAATGTTGTCATCCAGTTCTGCACTGTTTTTCCTTTTTACTCAAACATCCTAAGTAGTGTAATATACACCATACGGATTGCGCTTTACGCTCATGAATTCCATTTTTATTAAATCTCGTTGCGTCAGCGGATAATGAAGCAAAGAAACATACCATTTACTTCCATGTCTCTTCTTGCTTTTCATAGTAGTTATCGCAACAGTTAGTAGTAAGTCCTTTATAAATGTGTTTGAGTTAAATGCGCTGTTAAAATACATTATTTATTGTATGGAACAAATAGTAAAAACAAAGTCATGTCTCACAGTATCTAAACATTTGAAAATTGTGTTTCAGAGATTTAAGTACCAATTATGTTTATACTACAGTTAGATCAATCTGCTTTCACATTGAAGTTGAAAAATTATTAGGCTTTATTTCATGCCATATTTGATCAAGTAAATAGCACCAGACAATTTACATAGATTTATCAAACACTTTTCCTCAGTACAAACAAATACATCAAGAATCTTTAAAAAAAGTCATACACTCAATAAATTATAAATAGAAAAAGGGATTCCGATTAGAAAAGAATGAATTTGGTTGTTGACCTCAGGACTTATGTGTGAGATTATTTTACTTGAATATTAAAAAAAAACTTTATTGGTGATTTTCAATGATTGGACTAATATAAAGGATTAGTTAATTAGTGGCATGGTTAGAACACTTTCCCGGTTTATTATCCTAAAAAGTAATCTTTTTTTACATGGACTCAATATAATTTTCTCCCTCACAAGAATCTCGCTCATTGTTTTCATGAATCATGCCGCTTCTTTTGCAGATGAATGTAACTGGGAAAAATTTGTTAAACATTTGTAAAATTGTTTACAAAGTAGCTAAAAATGCAGATAATGATTGCTTATTTCTAGAGAATCCTAATACTCTTGGTAAGTATTAATTTATCGTTTTGACATTCGTAAGGTTACTGAGATTCCTTTTTTTAATAAATTTTAATGTAGCTAGATGTGATAAATCAAGTAAGTACAATAAAGTGGGCAAATTTTGTGAAATAAAACCTTATTTACAGCCGTAGGTCACTCGTCAGTCATGACATGGCGGTATAGCCATTGAATGTCATTAATGATAGCTATCTCGATACTAATATGATCAAGTTCTCTGTGCAACTTCAATTAAATATTTAAGAAATCTTTTTAAAGTTAGTCAGCAGTGATTGAATAATTATTGTTAGTTTTTGTGTTTCATGGACAGATTTATTGTTTGAAGTCCCAAAGTAAGATGGAATACTTATCTAGCGGTCCTTAATTTTTACTGCGCCTCAAGCTGATATCTATCAGATTTGTTACCTGTCTTCTCGAACCACTGAGATAAAATACTGATGAATTGTTTGTTTTTTACGCAATACTTAATTACCCTTTAAATATTTGCGTAATCTATTACTTATTAGCTATTTGAGTATTAGTTATGTGAAGTCAAAACTAACGTTTCTCTTGTTTTCCCCATTTTCAGATGTTTTAATTGGTGCTCTACACTTATTGGAGTTGTCCATTATGCCTTTTTCTATTTCCTCATCTGTTGCCTATCCGTCAATATTACCAGTAACCTCATCGTTATCACCAAAATCGTTTTCAATGAATAATTTGTTTCAAAACTCAACATTATTTTGTATACATTTAGAAAGTTTATTGTTTTTAACTGGAACAATAAAGTTCCTTATAAGTAATATAAATTTTATGCACAAATTTCATTCCAATTCAAGCTTTTTACCAAATTTAATGACTGTTCATAAGCATATATATGAAATGTTAATTTATTTCCTGAAGAATAAGAAGTATTTTTGTTCAGTGAATACTGTTAAAAAAGAAGAGCAACAAAATAGCAATGATGATAATGATAGTGCTAGTAATAATGCTGTATATGGTAATGAAATTAGTAAATTTATACAACATGCATATCACATCATTATACAGGTCAGTGTTTGTTTCTTATTTAAGCAATATTTCATTAATTCAACATGTCCATTCACTTGCTGCCCTAAATATCTACAGTTGTGGCAGAAGTAGTAGTATGATTAAGATAGAACATCACCTTGTTTGACTCATGATGTCAGAGAGTCGATACCGGTGTACACTTTCTATACACGAGTTCGACTAATCGAGAAAAAAGACAAAGAGTGAAGAAGAACGTTTATTTAGCTAAATTTAATCCATCGCATTTGAACTCATATATATATATATATATATATATATATATATATATGTCACTTGAGAAACTAAGTCTATCAGTGGCTTATGTTTCACCCCTTTCGAATGACAACCGTTTTTCAGCCAGTCACGTACATCATTTGGCTGTTTCTCACTATTCTACTGTATCACCTATCTAAACGGACTGAAACAAACATTTTTTAGTAAAGCATGGTTTACCAGCTCAGTGAAGGTCACAAATACACATAATTATCATTTAGTTTTATTCATAAAGAACTCAACTCTATGATTACATTACGATCCACTTTATAAACTCACACAGATCATATATATGATAATGAACGATGCGTGAAAGCTATAATTACTGATTATTAAAAACATTGAGGTAACATGAAATTTATGAGCTATATATATCCCATAGGTTGGTAAATTGATGTTTACGTGTTCTGATGGATATACTTTCATAAACTGCGCGTTTATTGGAAATTGAAATTTAGGCCTTTTGTAACAAAGATAATTACTTATTTCTCATCCGGCTTATTTTGCCGCGATATATATTAGTAATTTTTCATTTGCATGGAATTTCGCAACCATAAAATTTCTCACAAAAATCTTTTGTTAACTAAGTTTTATTATGCAGTCAAACCAAGGCTACTCTAACTTTTCATTGCCCGATCTCAGTAGTTGATCACGTATCCGTGTACTCAATTTTAAACTATACTTTTTTGTATGAGAAACAATGATACTACTAGCATGTTCTACATCTTTGATCTAATGGTCGAATACCGAGTTCTCTAATTATTTATTCATTAACCACATCTATATATTCCGAAAAGGACTAGCAGCTTGTTCATACTTAGAAATGTCAGATTTTAGGAAAATTTTGTTTTCTTTACTTAATTTTATTCAACATCCACGTTTTATGTGTATGGAGAAGGTTCTCCAAAATACCGATTTCAAACATTTCCATTAAATTGTATTTAATAAATAAAATCCCTACAAAATGAAACAAATATATCACATAGTGAATTAAACTCAGACTTTAGAAGTGTTCTTTGTAATAAAAACTATGAGCAAATCTCTTATGTTGGTAAATTATACTTTAATCAGCTGACTTTAGAGAGGTCCAAATGTGACAATTTTTACTTTGACTATTTTAGTTATTACTTCTTTGTACTGACTGACTATACTTTGTCCTTACACCTTGACTGTTGGTTACTTTATTCTTTCATTTGTTTTCCCATGTCTTCTTCCAATCATTTATCAACTGAAAAGCTTTTCTTTTCAATGTTTCGATTCTGTTATCCTTCATTATGCTAGTCCATAAGTTCTTTAACTATGCTCATAGGCATCGTGGTTTAGTGCTTGTGCTTCATTTCTATAAAATATGACACATATATACTGAATAGTCAGTCTGTTTTGCTTTCTTTTAATAAGGTCACAGAGATATTTTGTTATTTAAGTTCAATGGATTCATTTCGTCCTAAACTAATTGTGAACGATGGAATATTGCAACATATTGTAAATTGTATAATCAGTTATGAAGAATCCGATGACAAAATGTTGAGGGAAAGTGGTGGTACTCCCACTACTTCTGCTTGTATAACTACTGATAATCACGATGATCAAAGTGAAATGGAATTCAACTTTTCAAAATTTTATAATATTTACTTCAATTGGATTAGATGTTTATCTCATTTAACAGAACATGCAGATGTTTGTCATTATTTAGAAAATTGGTTAATTCCATCCAACAAAGATATGAATATCAATTTAACAACAAGTATGAAGCCGAACGATTCGATTAATATATGTCACATTTTATCAACACAAATTACAGAATTGTGTTATGCTTTAACCGATTTCATATACATTTTTGAAGAAAAACATGTATGTTCCAAACCATCTTATTAATTTTGTTTTCAATAACCAGTACTTATTAAAGTATATGATATCATATAATTGCTATTTACACTAGCTTATCATAAGACTTCAGTGTATTTTGATTTACCATAGTCAGTCACCATTTATTTACATAAATATATTCAAGACTAACTGAATAAACTACAATGTGACGATAATTGTTATCACAAAATGACACGGTTTGAAGAACTTTTTGAAACTAGAGAACGTTAGGTAGATGTCTTGTCGTAGTTTGAAGTGTCATATAAGCGACCTAGCTCAAGAATAAACCCAGAATCTTCGTGTTTTGTTTTGAACACATATCTAACCAGTCAGAAATATGTGCAGTGTTGTCAAGTTTTCAAGTGGTTCTCTGAAGACGAATGTTATAAAGGTTTAATTGTAGTAAGACTTTCAAATCTTGAGTAGAGTTGCAGGTGCACATTCCTGAATTATACGAGACAGCTTTTCTTTGCTCTCTACTTTCCAGTAGTTCTACATCAGAACTGCCTGAGTCTATTTAAATAAAATAAGATTGTTTTCATCATATTTTAATGGAAATCAAACTCCACAAAAAGATTTAATAAATCACAGAATAAAGATTTAAGTATTATTCCCAATTCTTAATTTGATTGAATGTGTAATCTTACTTGTACTATTTATCTTGACGTTGGATAGTTGAAGGTAGTCGACAAAAAACTCTGGACTTAGGATTCATGCCAGTCAGGACTCATCAACAAGGCTTAATTGGGATCTCAAGGAAATTGATCTGCTCTGTGGGACTTGGACCCACTTAACCCAGCTTTATAGTCTAAGATGATACTACTGAGTTATTCTGACGGTGATTGATCTCATTTAGGACTGGCATGTTGGGACTGATCGATCATAGGGTAACAAGCAAATCCATACTTGTCTTAATGTTGTTCGGATCCTACTGATGATGGGTACCATCTAGCGCTAAACCTAGGTTCAAGGTTTCCTGCTTACTACTTCCAACCACCCAACATTAAAACGAAATCTAAGCAATGTAGAGGCACCTTGACTGATGATAAATTGATACTTGATTAGTAGATTTTTATCAGTACTCAGAACTAGACAAATGAAACATAGGTCACTAACTCGTTATCAGTCTTTCTAAATGAACTTGAAGAATCTATTCCATTTAAAAGTTGCTTTATAATAGTGACAATTTTTCAATGCAAATTTCATTTTTTATATTTCATTTAGGAACTTGTTGTTAGGATAGCCTATGTACTTGGCAATCTGGCAGCTAAATGTGAACGTGCACGTATAGCAATAATACCTAATCATGATTCTTTGCTGAAACTATGCAATTTATGCTATCGATATAATGAAATACAAAAGTTTATTCATCAATCTGATCATTATACAAACAGAACTAATTTGAATAAATTGAAAAATCGTACTGAATTTAATAACACCGGTGTGTTAAAAATATGACTTAGACTTTATTCATGTTATATGTTAAAAATGTTATACTAATGGTTGTTCACCTTTGGCTACAAAGATTTTGAGCCAATTCTGCCCATCTTACTACTTTCATTACATAATATTACATTAGATGAAGCATTCTAGAACATTTTCTATTACTTTTCACCTACATGAATTTAAATGTATTTGTTATGCTTCCCTCTAGAGAATAGATAGAGTGTAGTGAACAGAACACTAACGGGGAAAATCGAATGTATTAGACAACAAATTGCAGCACTTGTTAATAAAATCTAACAACCATATAGTGAATCGTTACTTTGCAAAATATCAATCCATCATATCAAACTGGACTGTTCCTGTTGCAAACATCAATCGGTTGTCTGACATTTCATTGTTCATGAGTTTCCATACAAATTCCATTGTGTTCCCGCTCTTTCTTTCTTGATCTTCCCCCATCTTCTGCTACCAGACATTACGTTTAAAACTCGCGTCATATACTACTTATATCAATATAAGTAGCGCGCAACACAAGAGGAATAAATATAATTTATCAGTGTAGCTATCCGATCACTTTGGAGAAATATTGTGCAACTTTTGTTCACCCTAAAATATGTTCACAATAAACTTAACTAATCTGTTCAGTAACTAATTTTGTTGAAACGAACCTATCAGCCTCAAAATAGTTTCAATATATATGAGTTTATAGTGTATTATTATACTCGTTAATTTTCTTATGTTATTTTCAGTATTCATTGCTACACTTTTTAAGGTTACATTCGTTAAAAAAATATATGAACGTTGTAAATCAAATACTTTAATCACTGGCTAGTAAGTATATTCATACAGTGAATAAAACAGAGCAAATATTAATCTATAATTAAATCAAGTATTTATATTATGGATACCCTAATTCTTTATCATTTGAATAACTTATATTTAGTCCTAAAATAAGTGGAACACAATGTCAATAAAAATATTTTTGAATGACTTAAATGAATTTGTTATAACATCTTTGTTGAAATGGAAAATTAACATCTGAATTATTGTAGTTGTTCTCAGTTGGATTATTGTAATGGAACAAAATGGGATATAATATTGTGATAAATTCATAGCTCCTCATTTTTAGACCTAAATTTCATCTCTCTTGGTTAGATGATGCATGTTAGATGTCAATCAGCTTTTGTCCACTACATCACTTTCAAGGTTTGTTTGCTCTATGGTTTCAGTTTAAAAAATCAGGTTTAATTATTTGTCTTTAGAAGTAACAGAGCTTTATAAGAGTAAAACTATCCAATAATTTAAATAAAACCCGATAGTTAGTTACAGGTTCATTTACATGGGCCCAAAGTAAAACAGAGAGAGTTGTATTCGATCTTACTGTACGGTTGTGAAAAGCAAATTAGTTTGATCACCATGTCATCATTAAAGTAGAGCACATGAGTGCATGATAAACTTTCCCAAAAGTCAACGAAGCTGGAGGCATTCAGTCAAACATGTTTATCGAGGTTTATCTTGAAGTCTTATAGATAGTGCTTATTATACTATAGTGCTTATGTTTTTATTCCCTTGTAATTGTTTTCATCCCATATTTTTTCTTTTATCATCCTTATATTTAGATTTCCTAAATAATGCTTTAACAGATAAGCTAAATCAATCTGTCAAATCAACATATTCATTACAATATGATATACTAGTGAAATTACTTCGGGTTATAGCAAATGTTAGCATTAGTAATACGGTTGGATTGATATGCACAGCAAACTTTGATTGCATAAATTTAATCTTAGAAATTCTTGGTAAGTTTTACTGTTGCTTTTAGATAAGTTGTTGATTGGATTTGAAATTTTATAGTTTTATTCATAAACTATTTGGTCACTGTTATTAGTATTAATATCGCACATAAATTAGTTCTACAGTCAGACAGTTACAGATTATGCTTTAAATCTCTGAAATTGACAGCTAAATTTAGTTGTTATATTGTGTTGTCGGCATCTAGAGACTTCAACAAAGTAGGCAGTATTTATAAAAAATGATCATCATCATTTAATGGATCGACATTCAAACGAAATTAGGAAGGATTATTTCCAGTGATTTTTTGTGAGGAATTGCTTTCGAATTAAAAAAAACACTGGCTAGAATCTTTCAAGCCGACCTACCAAATAATCGAATTTGATGTTAACTACACTACCTGCTCCTATAAGATACTCTTTAGCCGATTTTAATTACCATACTGCAATTATAAATGACGTGAAAAGCCATCATTGTAACTAATAAAATGAAAACTATTATCGTGATGACAATCCTAACGCATCAAAGAAATGCATCTGTGAGTTTATTTCTTGACTATATCAGTATTGTCAAATAGTTTATAAATAAAATACAGTCTCTGCTACTCTGAAGTTCATAAAATAAAGTGGTTTTTGTCCTACTATGAACTTTTAACTTAATAACTTATTTGTATTTTCTAATAATAACTCCATTAAACTGCATAAATGATTGATATTCTCATTCGAAATATGTGGTTTTGCATAAGTAAAGCTAAATGATTGGGTAATTGAAACAATTAGGTGAATCTAATTGTCATTATGAAAAGGAGTACAGGATATTATTTACAAATAAATCAATATCAAAATACCTGACTTATTTCTTACTATTTTAAGTGATTGCTGCTCTTATAATATTTTTCAAGTTCGTATATATGTATTTGTAAGGAAAAGTTTGGCTTATTATTAGTAAGAATATACGATTAGCTTTCCTACTTAGTCAAGCAGTTATTTAATTTAATGTGATTTTTCGAGTTACGAGCAAGTTAGTGCTTCATTAATTCGTTATAAAATAAACGCTGAACGGAACCATCTTTGTATACGACTCCCAAGCCTTTGTTGCACATTTTAAAACCAAGAATTATAGAAGTTTTACGAGTATGGTTCAGAAATCAGTACGTTGTATTTTATATTGGTTCGATCGTGCGAGTGATAACCAACACATATCTAAATGGGGTAACTAACCTTGAGATTACTCTATAGCACACAAAGAGTCAGTGGTGAATGTATAAGAGTGGTTCAACTAACATGACTTATGATCTGATACTGAGCAAGGAATAACAAAAAGTTCATTAAAAAGTTTATACCATCTTAAAAAGGTAAAAATACAATTATTAGCCAACTATGTAAATATACGCTAAAAGACATTTGTGCCTTGATAAACTTAAATCGTTATGGTACGAAACGTACACAAAATTACAATTTTGGAAGTTTTGCAAGTAACAAAACTATTAATTTCAGGAGATATTCAGATCATTTTTAAAGCTGCAATGACTCTATGGAGTGAGTTTGTAAATAAAGTGCCTCGTTATTTAATGGGTGCGATAATATTTTGAATTAAAACTTACGTGTTGATTATTTATTCTTGCAAAGTTTGTGTTCCTAAACAATTTCATACTATTTCGGGCTTATCGCCCCATTGATTCCAAGTAGATAACTTAGTACCACATCAAGGTTTCAGACGCAGTTTATAGATGCCTTGTATTACACTGTAACCCTCAACCACTAACTTAGCAATATTTTATGGTAGTATCTACTATAAAACTAATTTTTTCATCTTGGTTTTTTAAATGAATGTAACAGATAATCAATCTATTGGAGAACCGAATGAATTACTGCTAAACTGTTTTGCATGCTTAAACAACTTGACTTACTACATAAAACAAGAACTAACTGATCAATCTGTTATAAAACAATGTGAAATAGCAGAAAGTAAGTTATTGAAATAATACCAGTGAAAGTAATCACTCCCAGTCGAAATATATTTATGTAGAGAAGAATAGATTCCTGATAATTGTTACTTCTCCGGAGGATTAAAAAAACCTAGTGAATACTATTAATTATGATCAAAATGTATGATATTTGCATGATAAAACTTGTAGCAAAGCAAGACCACGAACGTGGTTCACACTGATCAAATCCATCAGTGAAGAAACCAAATTATTCGGGATTACTCTCGAATAAGGAAATTCTAGTTCATTATAGTTCATACTACATTAGTTAGTCGTTTCATTAGGCTTTCTCAACGATTCTTATGACTTGAATGTATTTTTATACAAGTTTATTTTACTTTTTTACATTGTCAGGTTTATTACGTGTAATAATGAAGACTAGTGGTTTCCAAGATGAATTTCTTGGTATAATACGTGTATTTGGCAATCTTACACGGCATACAGCAATAAGGCAATGGTTAACTAATAATAGCAGTCGATTATTACAAGTCAAATATTTTTCAGCTTTCAATAGCATCAATTCAATCAGTAGTATTAGTAGCAATAATATTACGGAATTGAATAATTTAGTTCAACAGAATGCTTTTCTATATTTGATCATACAAGCGTTGGATTCTCCACGACCAGATATTGTTTATAGTACATTAGGTGTATTGATTAACTTGATGACAGATTTGGACCAACGACCAATGTTAAGGAGAATGGGAGGTCTATCAAAGTGAGTTACTGTTTTCATGTAAAATCACCACAACGTGTAGTTTACAGTTCAAAATGTTATGTTTCTAGCCCTCATTCTAATTCTCGTTTATATTATTTTCTGAAATGATCATCTTACAAATCAAATTCTTACCATCGTTGATTCAATCACCACTCCTTTTCATGCCAAATTCCACTGTGATTGTAAAGGTACTAACGCAACTTGCTGTTTTCTCGTTCCTCATGTTGAATATTTAATTTCACTAACCTTTTAATTATTTTGTTTTGAAACAATTTAAACAGTAAATATTCAACAGTAATGACCTTTTGTTCAGACACTAAATGCCCTCTTGTAATGGCCTGTTTTTCCGAGCATTTTGCATATGTTATGAAGCATGATTCACATGTTATTTGTTTTGCCCGATATCTAATTAATATATTTAATTTGTAACTATATTGACTTATACATTCGGTTCATATTATCTCTAGTTCTGGTGATTTCTACTAATAACACTGAAATACTTACTCATATACTGATAAACGCTGATCATATAAATAAGGGATATTAACTATAGTTCAACATTAAAAACACATAAATGTAATTATTCACGTTTTATTGAAATCCTGAGTCGATGTACATTAGAACACCATCGAAAACCGAAAAGCACTGGACGGCCGTATCGTCCCAGTATGGGACTCATCAGCAGTGCTCATCCAAGACCGCGCACTCGTTGATCGAACCCAGGAATTTCGGTCTCGCACGCGAACACATAACCTGGAGTTTTATTTAATCGAACAAAAGTATTCGTATTACTAATATTTTGTTATCTAAGAAAGTCTCATTTTATTGATCATAACGATATCCTAATATTTAAAAAATAATCTTTTATTTACATCTAACTGACCAGACTCGTAGAAATTCTTCGTGATTTTGCTGGCCATGATTGGGAGTTAGCTGGATTAACGTGTAAAACATTATGGAATTACACAGAAGTGGTTGATAGTTCACAAGGAGCAATGTTTGATCAAGAAATAATGAATGAGTTGCTAAGTCTGCTAACCAAATTTACTGGTGAGTACGCATATCATCAGTGATCATATTCTTACATTTATCTCCAACATTACATAACAGCTATTTTCATTAGCTTGAAAACGTCGAGTGAGATTGGTTCACATTGTTACCGAAATCTGCTTTATCAGTTTACAATAAATTGTTTTGAAGCCAAGGGAATTTTATAAATACTTCGTTGACTTATATTTTCAATTTGCCAAACTATTCTGTTGTCGTTATCAACGGTCATCGATATTATGTGTAAAGTTCATTCCACCTACTTCTGTTTGAACGGCGGTGTGGTATCAAAAGACCTCGACTATTATACTTCTGATCTGGAAACAGGCTCTCGCATTTAATTACTATGCAACAACTTTTGCACCGCGATAATCTTCATAATTTCATTTAGAACTTTGACCATAGTTTTATAGGATCACAGTCCCTGAAATACCACTAACAATCACGCCAACCTTTTGACACAAATGGTTTTTCTTGAAAAGAGGTTCATTTCTGAAAACGTTCAGAGATGACCCGTAACCAGTGAACTGAAAACGTTTAAGATTCAGTCTTGTCACGACACAAAGCGAGAAATGTTTTTAATGCTTTTCATTTACTTATATCTTGAGTAATTTTTTATTACAAAGAAATTCTTTATTTCTTTCGAGAACACATTACTAATTCATTACATTGATCATTTCATTCTTTCACTTGTTTTCGTAACCAACCATTGCCAAAAGATTGTGCCTCCTAATTCTAATTATTGATCGTATTATTACTAATACTGAATTTATTGATTATGTAATATCATAATCCTGTCTTAATTTATTGAACCTATCATAATTGACTTTGTCGACAGTTATGAATCTGGCAGAAATTATTATCTGTTTGTTATAAATCATAAAATCCTTAGCAACAAATTCCTTTGAAATTGTAAAATTAATGATTCATTCTATTTGGAAATAATTTCTCTCGAAAAATGACATCAGTTGGAGAACCAGTCCAAATCAAGAAGCACTGAATAACTTTCGAATCTTGATTTGGGGTTTATCAGAGGTGCACATGTACTCAGGTCTTTCAGACTTCTCAACAACTACGGAATGTCTGATAACCTAGTGGATGTTTAATAGTTTATTGACTCGATAAAATAACTCATATAAACTGGCCTTTTATTTTAACAGTTTTTTCAACGGTTATGAATGTATAGTCTCACTTGTAATCTACAAAGTTTCTAACGAAAATATAATTTAAGTAGATTTATTTATTCAAGATTGTTCTTTAGACTGAAGATTGAAACATTGTGATGATGAAATTTTTCCACATAAGTTTATTTAAAAGTTAGTATATCTGAGCTCAACTAAATCTGATAGTGAAGATAGTTTTTAAACTCGAAAAAATAAAAATACACGGCGTGGTCAGACAATTGTTTCTTGGATCATTTCATTCATTTAAGTTTATTGAAATATTTTCTTTATATTGAATATAATATATTAGTTGTTGGTCATTCATGTATATTTTATATCTTAGATCTAATTGAAAACAATTGTTCGCTTATATGTGTTGTTCTTATTTTATATCTGTTTGTAGATGATAAACTTATTGCACAAATACATAAATCATTATTATCAAATAGTTTGGTAGCTGAATCTGATTGCTTATTACTGTGGGAATCTACATGGTATAGTGAATTTCTTCCTTTTGCAAATGAACTTATTTATCGTTTGTCAAATGCGCCACAATAAAATGATTTTAATTTACAAAAAAAATCACTCTTTTTCACTTACCAGTTCAATGGACTGCAATACTGTGATTTGGGAACAGATAAACTTAATAACTGCCTATATTTCTTTAATATTATTCATAACCGTCTGTTCACTTTTTTTTAACATGAACATATTCTGCTCAATTTCACTTTATGCTGACATAATTTTTGCTAAAGTTTTGATATTGTCTGACCGGAAACCATTTCCTACAGCTCAACTAATTCGTTGTAATAATATCACTTAAATAATGAACATTTTTACCATTTATACTCAGCACAATATTGACTGTTATCAGTCCTGAAAGATTTTTCAAAGAAGATATTACTGAAGATATTACTGACCATTTATTTTAAGAAACGAACAAACATTATTCATCTGAGAATTCTAAACATTCAGTTTTGACATTTGTATGATTCATTCCCTTGTACTGTTTACTTTTGTATTTTGTTAATTTCATTTCAACTTGATTTTAGTAATAGGTTACAAAGACTTAGTTTTCTAGTATCTGAGTTAACTTTACGAATCTATGAAACCTCGGTAGCTGAATATCAGTCAGATATATTATATACTGCTTATTCAAATTATGATAAATATACTTGACTCTCTCAAATATGAGTTATTTATCTACATAAGGAAAAACGCATTTATGTTCAAATAGCTTTAACCACTCCCTGAAAAGTAAGTTTTCACAGGTTAAAATAACAATGTAGAACATCACAAATGGTCTAAACTTTATAGGTATATGACTATACTTTTATCCAGATATATTTACTGTTACTTCCATCAGTGATAATTTACTGAATAAAACCTTAAACCTATTAATTGATTGTTTATTCATACATTATTCGTCAGAAGATCATAGGAAATTGGTATAAGGCTATACAAGCCAACTACCACACATAATTAATAACTTTGAGGAATTTTACCAAAACTACTAGGTAAAAATTAAAATAAAACGGGAAAAGGTAAACATTTTGAGACTTCAAGTATATATTTCTAATGGCCACTGTGTTTCGTCTACTTAAGATGCTTTAAAGGCTTCCATGAGTTTTCCTCAAATTCTGTGGCTGTTCACAGTGTTATACGATCCATATAAACTAGGGAAAATGACTAAGATTGACTGGAAAATCAGTAGTAATCAGAGATACAAATCCCTTAGTTTTATATTAGCCTGATAAAACTCCGTAGATGAATTAGTTTAAAATATCTTGGAAGTGCTGATACATCTTTTGTTTAATAGTGTAACACGAAGAGTCGATCGCGAAAATCTTCATTATTTAGGAGGCCAGTGTAATTCAAAATAGTTGGGAATTCGATTGTTCTCAATCAAAAAGTAAAGTTAAATTCTTCGGAGGCTAAGTAGCCGTTCAAATGTGCATAAATAGGAGGTCAAAATACTTCTTAGATTACTGTGGATATCAACCCCTTAAATTTATTTCACACTTGGTTAAAGGCTGAGTGTGGGTCTCTCTCTGTAACAGCTTCGACTCTGGGGAAGTGCTTGGTATTGGAAAGACTATTATTGTTGGGTAATGTTTTTTACTGTAACGGAGACAAGTGAGGTAGCTTGTTTGCGTGACCACAATTCAGTTTTTAATAAAAAGTAGTAGTACCGAATGTAATATAAAAACTTGTAATTAGTGAATCTGGTGTAACACCAACGAATGGAAAAACACATGAGGATATTGATAAAACCGTGCGAACGCAACAATCTATCGCATTGTAATTAGAATAAACCGAACAAAAAAAGTAGAAGCAATTATCATTTTGTACAAATACTAGGTATGCAACAGTTTAAATGGCAGTTTAGATTTTTGAAATTCACTGTGTGTCTTCTACTCAGATTTATTAAATTTGTATTACACCGTTCATTGGAATTAGTTCTCACATAATCTGAAGAAATCTCAATAATTTTAGCAACAGAAATCGGAACGAACTCTTACGGGTTTTAGAAATATTTTTAATTAGTGCAGCAATAGTGTATACGAACGTGGATTTATTGACATTTTTAAGCGAACTTCCAAAGCTCACTTCGATGATGGAATGACAAAAACAAAATGTAAGTACTCTACATCCAAAAGAAAAGTTTGTTATCACGAAACTTCGACGTTGTTCCTTATATATAGTGACATTTCAGTTCTCAGTGTTGAAGTAATTCATCAACTCTGAACTTTATTTATTTGAATATTTGGGCTATCGGAATTCGAACCCAGGGTCTTCGGTCTCGCTCTCATTCGTGGACGCGAACTGCCTGGAAGTTTCATACTGGAACGAAACAGCCGTCCAGTGCCTCCAGGATTTCAATGGTGGTCTAACATCAATCGATTCATGATCTCAATCAGAAAACCTAACAATCACGAAGGCCCCATACTGATATTAACACTATTACCATCAGCCTAGTTTTATTTAGTTCTCCCCTTGCCACCTCCGTCTAACAATTAATTTTACGCTTCTGTTAATCTTTGTTGCTCCTGTGATTAACTCATTGGTCTCTTTTGACAAATGTCTTTTCTTTGCTCTTCTGGATTTTAATTTTATGATTTTTATGTTGCATCCAACCAATCTGCTGGTCGATGAAGTGATAATTACTAGTTTTAGAAACACTACTGTCGTGGAACAAATACACTCACTTGAACATATGTTATACGAAGTCATAAATAACTATTGAATTCACTAAGACCTGTGCAGTTGAATGCCTAAACTACTTCTAAGGAGGCCATAAAAGACCGTGAACTAAATAGCGATATCAAGAAACAAACGCGAGAAATCATTCGGTTTACAATAATCAGCCTTAAAGATATTTAATGCTGAATTGGAAATAAAAAGTGTTGACGAGACTAATTTATAAACGAACCAATCAGATTTACGATAACAGGTCTCCGCTCACTCACCCATTTGGCTAAATTGAGTCTTGACATTATAGCTGATGTTAGTTCGTGATGAAAACTTTGAATCTAATTCCTAACCCTAACCATCAGCTGTCAATCATAATCCTTATTCTTCAAACTTCTTTATAACACTCATTTAGCTCTAGTAAGCAGGTAGACACTCTCAAGTTCATTTTAGCATCGCTCAAAGGTTGTCCATAAATTAAAGTTTCATTACTGTTATGAAAAAAATTCTTTGACTTGTAATTTGCTGTGATTTCTCTGGTAAAGTGCAGTACTGACATTCATTGAGATAACCTGAAGTAATTATTATGTTCCCATGATCTGTCGAGTATAGTCCCAGGTGGAGAAGGTGGTTATAATAGAGTTCGACCATTAATCCTATATCCCAATTTGCCGCATGCCTCTTCACATACTCTAAGAGATTCATTGTAAACGTTTACGTATGTATTTATACGTGTGTGAAAATCACCCATGCATTCACTTTATGTTTTAAACGCTTTTTTTACTGGCTTCTGCATTTATCAGTATTGCCTTTTGGTAACTTCCATGCCGTATTATTAAACTTTCATTGTTTCTATGTTTACTGATAGCTTCTGCAGTACATCACCAAAACTTAATTGTGTTCCCAGTTCTTCAGGAACATCGTCTTTTAATAACCGTTGATTCCCCACTTTTAGAACGAACTGAACTAAGCTCTTGAATTTATTCAATTGACTTTGGTGAAGAACTCTCAGTCCTATATGTAATTCTTCGACTAAAAATGGACAGATCTTTGGTACCTATTTGGTCGAATTCGGTCAACATGAAAAGATGTCACACAATATCAAACGGTTTGTCAAAGTTCAAGGAATAGCGCTTACATGGATACTTTAAGATCCCAGATCTTGCACACTGATGATCCATTTGAGGTACACAATATATTTCATGAAGCCATAATATGCTTCATTATTTTTTTTCTCTTTTCTCCTTCTCTTCAAATTATCATTGTTTTGTGTGGCGCATATATATTTGGTGCCCCCCTGTACCAATATTTATGTGTTCAAATAAATAAATAAATTCAAGAAAAGAGTTTATGTACGCTTTCAGATTACTTCATTTGATCATCTACCAGGCCTCATAACACTTTTGGCAGTGCTGAAATCAGCCTTCAAGGTCTGTAGCAGTATAGATCTTTTCTGCCTCTTCCCATGATGAGTGGAGAGCTAATGGCCAACTATCATCTCTTCGGTAACCGCTTGCAATCCAGTGCGTATTGAGACAGCTCGCTTATCGGATGCCAAAGAGTTTTAGGATATTTTTTCAGTACTGCAGAGTGTATGTCAGTGCAACCAAGCGACGCGTTAGATCTGAATTTCAGTAACTGTTATGACTTTAAGTACGGCTAGTTATCACGTACGACTTATTCACTCTTGTACCGTAATAAACCAATGACGTTCGACCGGCCTGATCAGCCTAGCGTCCTTATTGGTCCTTTGTTCGCTTAGCCCGTCCAACTGAGTCCAGAACACCAATAACAGCTTCCACTATGCGAATCATTTATTTCAGACATATTTGTTTTACATACCAGCCAAATAGACCGCATCGCACCATAAAATAGGAAATAACATTTATATAAGATCAGGCCGAAAAGTGACTGTGAACGTGGAAGACGGTAATCAAATAACTGAGTATAACTTAAGAACAGTAAATCATATGATAATAATCTATCGGTCAGAATGAAGTTTATAATAAAGGGAATATAGATATATATAATTTAGTTACTGAATAGTTGTACAATAGGAATATATATATATTATTTTGGTCCATTAATAGTTCTCGGAAGTTACTCATAGTTTATTCTTCGCTTCTTAACACTGGCCCAAATGATTTCCTTGCAGTGCCCTTCCATATTATCCCTAATAGAATATGGGCTCGAACCCACTGCCTAAATGTCTGGTTTAGCTTTTTGCTATGGTACGCGTTGAATGCTTGTATGGTTTCGAGGTCGCCGAAGGAAGTTTCCTCTGTTTCAGCAATAAAATATTTTCCTGATTTGTATTTTATCTGTTAGGCAACTTAGAAAATGGATATTTAACATTTGACGCTGAGAGAAGGCGAACTATAGTGAATGCGGGAATATTCAATTGAATTAAATGGGATAGCATGGCTCAGGCTGGCGGGCGTGGTTATTCTGTATAACATGTCTTTATTCACATCAAATATATTACCTTATCTTCAGCCTAAATGTGTTTTTCAAAAGTACTAAGTAATATATTGTTAGCTGATACGATTTGGTAAGTGTAGACAATGATCTTATAGATTAGGCAATCACATCATGACACATCTACAATTTTAGGATTAGATCTATAATTATAATAGTACTAATTGAGAAGTAGACCATAATTCTACATATTTGCCTGTTCTGGGTTGAGCTGAGAAATCCCAACGAGGTGTGTTTGGAAACATTTCTGGCACTTGCACTGCATCTGTTTCTCTATGTTGTAGTCAATCCATGCACAGAGTCTTTAGCTGAAGTCTGGCATCTGTTACAAGCATTCGTTTAGGCACGTAGTGTTGAGATCCCTTACTATGAGCAACCAAACGAAACTCAGGCGTGGTGATAGCAATGGAATCATGAGTGTATGTTCTTTGTGTTAGTTTCTGCTCTGAGAATATAATATGTTGTCTCCAGGTATTTATTATTATGTCCATTGTAACGGAAAGAAAGTGTTGAAAAT